TGTAGCATGTCAAGACGATACCCGCAATGCCATTGTATCAAGTTGGAAAAGGTGGATTCAGGGATGTGGATCACTGTCCTGATTTTCACAGATGTTTGACAAGTCATATTCAAGTTCTGATAGTCACTTTCAAGTCATATCCTCAGTAGTTGGTTGACATTGCCGCGACATGGGATATGGCCTGCTGAGGCTTTTCGCGTTCCGATGCCTGGCACCCATTCTCGGTGAACGGGACCATCATTTTGTGGCAATTTTGATGGGAAAATGATAACCTCCATGGGAGGGGATCCGGTTTTGCACAAAGCCAAAGTGGATGATTTCCAATGATTTCCATATTTTGCAAAGGGGTCCATCATTTGTAGGTCCACAAGTGCCCTTTTCTGACCCAGAGCAATTTATAAATTGCCCGCTTGGTTGTTTTTTTTTCCTAATGGTCTTCGAAAGCTACAATCCCAATGTAACATTGGGAACTTGCACGTCAGCATCATGGGCAGGAAGCTTCTTCGTGGTAGAGTCTTTCAGCCCAGGCTGAACCGATTGCTTGCGCCATGCGCTTTGACCCTGGTGTGGGCCCCAAGCCTTAGTGGAGATTTCAGCAAACGGGCCTCTGGGTGTTTCTATGCGCTATTTCATTTTATGACACATATGATATATGATCATTTACGATCATATGAGTAACCGACAAAATTAGCTATATAAAAACTAAAGTAGTAGGGAGTGGACTTGGGATGTTCAAATTTGTGTCAAAAACTTCACAACCGATAGGGGACCACCCACTTTGGCCATGTCCATTGTGAGTATAGCAAGTAATTTTGTCCGCCACTCTATGTATTATATGTATATATATATTATATAATCATTATATAAGATCTACACAAGGTATATAGCATGATACAGATGTTTTTGTTGAGCACAAGCAACGCGGGGGTTTCGTTGGTCTCGGCCCAAGGTGTGGCTATGGCTTGCAGCTGGCGATGCCCTCAGTGCCAGAGAGGTTTGGTTCAGTGCTGTTTCAACTTTCGGATCTCTAAATTTAAACCATTCCATCCCGATTCCATCCCGACTCCATCCCGATTCCCATGCTTTATCCCATGCTTTATCCCCTGGACCATCTGCAGCATTTGTGCCGACTGATTTTTTTGAAATTGGTGCGGATGAGGTGAAATCTGCAGTCGCATGGTCAAAGTATGTCAAAGTGACAGTTGTGAAGGCCAAAACGAGGAAGAACGGGAATCATGGTACAACAATCACATTTGTTTTCAACTATAATCACTGGACTTTCTTTTTAATTATGGCAAAAAACTATAGCGGAGGACTGGGTGGCTGAGTGGGTCCAATCATCTGCCGGAAATTGCGTTGCTGCTTGGTCGTTTCCAATATACTGTTTGCCGCTTCACTGTTAGCCACGAAACCTAGCTTTTGGCTCAACGAAGGAGGTTCCAGGTGCTTGACTCACTTGGGTTTCCAAGCCATGGCCGTGAAAAACGGCCCGGATTTTCTAGCCATCAGAGAATCTTGAAGCAGACTGCTGCGCAGGGGCAGACCTTCTGCGCAGGGGTAGACGGGTGGGGCACACACAAAGACAGCTTGGACATGTTTGAACTGAGTTTAAAGTTTAAACCTTTAGAGGACTCATCCTCTCCAAAACAGTGAGTTAATTGGGTAGGCTGGGCTGGGTACCGTGTATTTGAGTATGTTCCCACTGAAAATCGGGACAGCAAGCTCTTAACAAGCACTTGAATATCCTGACAAGTTTGTTTCTTGCTTGAGACAACAGTGAAGCTCTAAGAATGGCAGGATGATTCCGATCCGCCGATATTTGAATTATTTGTTTATAGTTTTCAGACGACCGAGCTGTAGAGGTGAACGAATTGTTTGGCCCTTTTGCATCCTTTTGCAAGGTTGATGAAACCAGTGTTGGAGCAGGTTGGAACGCTTGCAGACGGGGTCACGGGAAACAAGCTCAGACTGAGGATGCCGCTTTCAAACGGGTAAAAAAAACGATCGCAGAATCTTCCTTGGCATCTCTTGCGATGCGTGGCTTGGCAAAGTATCTTGTTCCCGAATGCGTAGCAAGGGTTCCCGTGTCACTCTGGGGGTCTGGGTGCTGAGGGTGTATTCGATAGACGTGTCGCAACCGTTCGCAACCGTCCGCAACCGTTTGCAACTGTTCGCAACCTTCTGCAACTGTTCGCAACCGTTCGCGTCTGGCCGTGCCTCTGGCCAGTTCTGCAAGAGTGGTTACTTTTGGAGGTTTCAATCGTTGCGTAGCTTCGTTTCGCATGGGCGGCGTGGCTTTTCGTGACATTCCAACATGTTTTATAACGTGTCGAAAGTGTGTGACAGGTGCAGTTCTTTTGCGTCGTTTTCAGAAGATGAGTTGCATTTACAGGCGCAGAACTTTGGTGACCTCCATCGTCATTTTGCGTGGCAGGCACAGCAGGCACAGCACTTGAGACGTGTCGTGTGGCATATTTTGGGAATCGCATTTTCAGGGCTGCGTCAAGTGCTGACAACGTGCAAATTGTGGGGCAGGCGTGACATTTTATGACATGTGATGAAAATAACCGAAGCGTCGTGCGAAACATCGATTTTGAGGTCTATAGATTTTGGAGTCCATGAGAAACTCGTCGGAAAACGTCAATTTTGTAGCTACAATGTGTAAAATTATTTGATGAAATTTGAAGAATTTTCGCACGAAATCATGTCTCGTCTCCATTCTCTATAGTTCTGGCGTCGCCATGTCTATTGGGGGAAGCTGCAAAACTTCTCAAACAGTTTCTAATGCCGTTTTGCGTGGCAGTCGTGGCACGTCGTGACATTCCCACGGGTCTGCAAATGTTGTCGAAAGTCGTCGTTTTGTGTGACAGGCGCAATACTTTTTGCGTCGTTCTCAGAAGCTGAGTTGCACTTTTCGTGGCAGGCGCAGCACTTTGGTGACCTCCATTGTCATGTCGCGTCTTTAGACGAGTCGTGTTGCGTGCTTTTGGTGAATCGCATTGTCAGAACGGTGTGAAGTGGTGACAACTTGCAAATTGTGTCACGCGCGCGGAACATCATGAGAGCGTCATTTTGCGTGGCAGAGGCAGTATTTGGTGCAGATCTAAGGAGTGTGGAAAGTCATTTTGCGGGGCTGGCGCATTATTTCAGTATTTCGGCCACTCCACACTCCACACTTTACACTTGACACTCCACACACTACACTTTAGCACTCTAAACTTTACACGTAACACTCCGCACTCTAGACTTTCCACCTTGCACTCTACACTTTACACTCCGCACTCTGCACTTTACACTCCACACTTTACACTCCACACTTTACACCTCCACACTTTACAGTCCACATTCTACACTCCGCCTTCTGCACTTCAGACTTCACACCCCACACTTTACACTTTACATTCCACACTCCACACTCTACACTTTACACTCCGCACTTTTCACTTTGCACTCTACACTTTACACTTCGCACTCTGCACTCCACACTTTACACTCCACAACCCACCTCTAGTGTACACTTTACACTCCACACTTTCCACTTTACACCCCGCACACTACACTCTGCAGTTCACACTGTACACTTTACATTCCGCAGCTTGCACTTTACAGTGCGCACTTGACACATTACACTCCACACTCGGCACTCTACACTTTACACTCCGCACTCCACACTTTACATTCCGCAACCCACCTCTACTGTACACTTTACACTTTGCACTCCACACTTTCCACTTTACACTCCGCACACTCCACTCTACACTTCCCACTGTACACTTTACACTCCGCAACCCGCACTTTACAGTGCACACTTGACACATTACACTCCACACTTGGCACTTTACACTTCGCACTCCACACTTTACACTCCGCAACCCACCTCTGCTGTACGCTTTACACTTTACGCTCCACACTTTCCACTTTACACTCCACACACTACACTCTACACTTCACAATGTACACTTTACACTCCGCAACCCGCACTTTACAGTGCACACTTGACACATTACACTCCACACTCGGCACTTTACACTCCACACTTCACACTATGCACTTCACACTTTGCATTTTACACTGCGCACCCTACACTTTACACTACACACTCCACACTTTACACTTCACACTCTACACTCCACACTTCATACTTTACACTTCACACTACATTTTAGACTACGTACCCTACACTTTACACTCCACACTTTACACTCCTCACTCTACACTCCGCCTTCTGCACTTCAGACTTCACACCCCACACTTTACACTACATTCCACACTTCACAATCCCCACTTCACACTCTACAATGTACATTCCCCGCTTATGGCTCCACTTTCTTTACATGTCGCACTGTGCACTCTACCCATTCCACATTCCACAGTCTACAGTGCACTGGTACGATAACAGGGGAAAAATGTACAAGACTCTTCAAATAACTTGTTTCACAAAAGTGTTCTCCCTGACTGCATTCGGGTTCAAAATGCATCCATTTTGAAGAGGTGATTTGGGTGATTTGGCATGTATTTTGTTACCAAGCCTTCGGTTTGTTGAATCGTTTCCGAACTATTTTTCTGAGGCTACAAGCCTCGCAATCAGACCACGGTATTTTTTGCCGCTGCCCGAAAACCTGGAGCTGACCGGGAGGCTGCAGCCAAGCAACTCAAAATATTTTTGTCATGCCGCGTACCTGCGTTAGAACATGCTGTAACGCCATGCAAAAAAACGTCAAAAAACCTTGTTGCCCTGTTCAAAAAGGAAAAAACAGGGTCCCCGTCTCTTGACGGCCGGGCATTCTCCGCAGGCCAAGTGTTTGTGTGAGATCTTGGTGCAGAAGGGCATTCGTGTCAATCACACTGACGTTGCTTGGCGCAGTCCTGAAGTGATGTTAGAGGATGTTAAAGGGCAATTGGCTGAACGGTTTTGGCTCAAAATTAGTTACCCCCAAATGCGGAAAGTTTTTGCTGGTTTCACCCACATCATGCCAAATCCAGTTTCATTTGTGCTATGCATGGGGGTCCGGGAGATGCACGAAGAGCAAGTTGTTGCCTTTCCTGTTGGACGGAGGAACTTCCAAAATGGGACTAGGCCATAGGGGTAATCCACAGAGGGAGTACACCAACAATGATGTATGTTCATAGCTGGTTGGCCCTCTCAAACGTGCGACTTTTCCATGAGGAACCTCCACTTGAAAAACGATCGTGGGAAGGGTAGTTTCAACACGTTCAACCACAAATCAGACAGTGAGGCATTTGAGATTTGGTAGGTATGGACGGTATGGACCCAAACTCGGTACCTTCAAAAAAAGGGGTTGATTCTGTAGACTATGACTTTTGTGTGGGAACTTTTGCTATTGCGTGCCATGCGTGCCATCATCTCCACCTTTCAAGAGCCAAGGTAATGAATCAAACGGCCCTTTTCTATGCGGCCCGTCAAGGGCACGCAGAAACGATCAAGTTCTTGCTGAGCAAAGGCGCAGACCCCAATGTGGTGGACACCAATGGGGAAACGGCGCTGCTGGGATGCCAATAGAGTTTGTGTTGTTTTTCATTTTTTTTGGGCGGGAGGATGGTGGACAAAATCTCGTGAATGGGCGGTGAGGAGTTTGTGTGACTGTAGGGGGTTACTGCTAAGATTGCTAAGAAATTGCTTCTTTGTTTGGCCGCTCTTCGTTCGGATTTGTCCTGGATTTAATTCCGAATCCCGAAAAACATATATATATATCTATATATAATATATATATATGTATGTATGTAATGTAATGTAATGTAATGTAATGTAATTTCTGTATGTATGTATGTATGTATGTATGTATGTATGTATGTATGTATGTGTGTATGTGTGTATGTGTGTACGTGTGTACGTATGTATGTATGTATGTAATGTAATGTAATGTAATGTAATGTAATGTAATGTAATGTATGTATGTTTGTTATGTATGTTTGTTATGTATGTTTGTTATGTATGTTTGTTATGTATGTTATGTATGTTATGTATGTTATGTATGTTATGTATGTCATGTATGTCATGTATGTAATGTATGTAATGTATGTAATGTATGTAATGTATGTAGTGTATGTAATGTATGTGTATGTAATGTATGTAATGTATGTAATGTATGTAATGTATGTAATGTATGTAATGTATGTAATGTATGTAATGTATGTAATGTATGTAATGTATGTAATGTATGTAATGTATGTAATGTATGTAATGTATGTAATGTATGTAATGTATGTAATGTATGTAATGCATGTATGCATGTATGCATGTATGCATGTATGCATGTATGCATGTATATATGTATGCATGTATGCATGTATGCATGTATGCATGTATGCATGTATGCATGCATGCATGTATGTATGCATGTATGCATGTATGCATGTATGCATGTATGCATGTATGACATGCAATGTAGTTGTGTGACATGCCAGCTATATATTGATATCATTGATAAGGCAGGAGTTTGGACTATAATTCCTATTTGTACAATATAATATGTAAATAAATTGTAGTATCACATTTTGTTTTTGAATGGGGTGACATCCTGCTACTGGTCAAGAATTGGCGCAGTCTTTTGGTATTCTTGCAGGGGTTGCTAGAAAATGATGAAGGGATTGTGGAAGCACATCAACTCCTCAAGCAGCAGTTGGAGTGTCAAACACACTAGAGTCTAGCTGAGTGGGCACTGGCAAAGCTCCTCTATAATACGTAATTGCTACGGCTTGACAGTGGTGCTACCCTATCATTCCAATCTTGGAAACTGCCAATTCACAGTGATGCCATACCGTTCAGCAGGTTGGCCCTTTCACTGAGGTTGCCAACAATGCTGGCAACACGTGCATGAGTGTGGCGCCTGCTGCGGTCTTCCCTGCCTTGCAGGAGGCACGGAAGTGGGTGAACCACAGCAAAAGACGAGCCCATCGAATTTGATGGTTGAAATCAGTTTGAATGCCACTGGAAATCCCCCATTTCTGGGTTGTACCAGTACCCAGTTGCGCGCTGGTTTGTGTCCAGTTGTGGGCTATTGATTGATGATGAGTGCGTGGCCACTTCCAGCTTTTAGTTTTCACAGGCTTTAAATCAGGTTTGGGATGTAAACTGCATTGTCCAGACGTCCCATGTACGCCTCAGGAGCGCACAAAGCGACGCCTCTACGACGACTCAGGCTTGTCAAGGGCCTGCAGTGCAACGTCCTGATTTATCAATGATTTGGGCGCATCTTGATTGATGCATCCCCAAAGAAAGGAGCGGTTTCCCAGCCAGGTCCGGGGCCAAAGCGCCAGCGCACGGCAATGGAAGGGCTGCGTGCATGGGCCAATGAGTGGCCAGCCAAGGAGCCTATCCCCAGTACCTTGGATCTTGGTGAATGTTCGTCAGGAGTCATAGCTTTGAAACTATTTTAAATTTGGTCGTGTATGCAATTTCCTTTTTTTGGTGTGTGTGTCCAAGCCTGGATGGTAATTTGCTAATTTGGACATTTTGACTGTTTTTTTGGCAATGAAGTGAAGCATGATTTTTGTTGGTCGATGGGTGGCTCAACCAACAACCCGATGGCCATTAGACTGGGCCAATGATGATCCGGGAAGCATGCCACACGTCTTGCAGCTACTCAGCTACTCGCATCAATGTCTTGCATGCTGAGGAAGCAAACAAGTGAACTACAAAGAGGAGGACTGATGGACATTGCCCGGATTTCTATGTGTGAACATGTCAAAGTTCCTTTTCTCTGTGTAGGGATGCACAAATATGCCTGTACAGGTACATGTATATATAATTATATATATATACAATTATACATATATTAGATAATTTATACATTCATATCATTCATTAATTCGTTCGTTCGTTCGTTGGTTCGTTCGTTCGTTCGTTCGTTCGTTCGCTCATCCATTCGTTCATTCGTTCGGTCGTTCTTTCATTCGTTGATTCGTTTGCTCGCTCGCTCGCCTGCTCGCTCGTTCTTTTCGCTCGCCTGCTCGCTCGTTCTTTTGTTCGTTCGTTCGTTCACTCGTTCAAACATTCATACATTCATTCATTCATTCATTCATACATACATACATACATGCGTACGTACGGACGTACGTTCGTACATACAAACATACATACATTCCATTACATTATACATTAATTAGATTAGATTAGATTAGATTTCATTACATTACATTGCATGCATGCATGCATACAGACATACATACAAATGAGCCCGATTTTTTTTGCGACATGTGAGAGCCACAGATTAGATTAGATTAGATTACCATTACATTACATTGCATGCATGCATGCATGCAGACATACATACAAATGAGCCCGATTTTTTTTTGCGACATGTGAGAGCCACAGCCTTGTCACTGGACCCTGTTTAGCTGTGTATGTCTAACATATCTATATAGCATGTACTGCCCAAGGCGTGCAAGACACATGGTTCTCACTCAGTGTTTGCCTTTCTGCTACATATTTACAACATATAGATTACATACCCAAAACATACCTATGCATAATATAATCCTATATACTATACGCTTGTACTGCTTGGACGCAGTATGTACCTACAAATATATACGTATGGGATCCGGTCAAAAATCCCTAGTAAGGAAAAGTAAATCAAGTTGCGAAATTAATGCTGGACGATAGTTTTTTAGTCTTCATTATTTAGTGGGCCCCCAACGAAACACGGTATTTCTGCAGCTTGGCGCTATGCTCGCTTTAGCAGTGCGCTAGCATTTTTTTGGTTTTAACATTCCCAGGAAGCAGTTCTCTTGTGTAAACTCTTCTTCGTATTAGATCGTATTAGTATTGAGTACGTGGAATTGGCATGGTATTGAGATGATGTGACAGTTTGCTGTTTGCCACCATTGCCACCAGTATCCGGAATGCTTTGCATTGGTATGGGTGTTTTGGGTTTCGCAAAGTTCAGCCATTGCATTTTTATGAGAACCCCAGTACTTGTCGCAAATATTTCCGAAAGTAGCGCCGTCATCCACGCTAGGCTGGCGCTAGCGCCGCGCTATAGATCCGCGCTAGCAAACATGTGGCAATACTAGCCCTGGCCCAGAAGTCAAACTGGCACTTCTTTAGGCTCGAAAAATGAACGGGCCTGACGTCAAATGGAAGTACCAAAGATTTGGGGAAGTACCAAGGTAGGTACCAAAGAGACCCAAAGAGCTTTACAAGTAAAGCGTGCCAGAGGCACTCGCCAAAGGCGATATCTGCAGGACATGGCACAAGAATCAGACAGTAGCACGCCATCCTCCTCGTCCGAGAGTGGTTGAAAGTGCCGCGCGCTAGCGACTTCGCAACGAAATGCAACAATGATTCTCCTCCCCTTGATTCCCTGTGATTTAGAAGACATAACAAGGTACATGACGCAGAAGCAAATTTATGTAGCGGGCCAGCTATTTACGACTTTTGCACACTTCTGGGAAAAAAACACATTTTGACCAGCCACCATATACACTCCCAAAATATACATTCCCAAGTAACATGATACACCTTTGTTTAGTCTACACATAGCTTCACCACTACCTATATCATTATATACTCCTTACACCCTGCATATGCTACCTACACACATGTTTCATGGCGTACCTATATACGACTCATTGCATGACGTGCCCATTTAGATTGTACTGCCTATAGAGTACCTCACCCTACATATTTGCTACCCATATATATATAATATATTATATATATATATATTATATATATACATATATATATATATATATTCAAAAAACATACCTATGCAAAACTATTCACAACTATAATCGCGGTGAGGCCCAGACAGGCATCAATTCCCCTCGGTACCTGCTCTGGAGTAGTAAGTCTGAGAGAGAGAGACGGATAAGAAAGCTTTTGAGATTGGGCCAACAAAACATTTATAAATGTCTTTCCCAGGTATTATGTATATAACAGTATCTCAAATCACTAAAATAGTCCAATATACCTACACCTTTTGGAGTTGTGGTATTTGATGGATTTTGCGGGTTTTGGCGTTCGTTTTACGGATATTTTGAATCGTTGTTTTCAAGAGAGTATGTGCACGCCCACCATTTCCGAATTTCCACCTCTGAATGAGGACGGCTAGACATTTGGATGTGCTTCCAGAACAGTTTTCCCCCAACAAAAGAGAACAACATCCCTAGGAAACAGGGATACGCAATGCAATCGCCAGTGCAAATTCAATCAGGTTCTTGCAGATTCTACTTCAAACCCTGTGAAGCATTGAAAGCAGTCGTTTTGCCAAGAGAAATTTGGTTTGCAGGACTACCATTGTTTCCCTCCCGTAGCATCTAAAACTAGTACAATGACTTATTTGTACTTGAATATTTTGGTCGTTTGTGCGTCTACAGGTATGATTTTTTTTTAAGTATCGGAACCGGGAGGGACATGCATGACATATGCACCTATAGTACGCGTAGTTAACACAGAATGAAGATGCATGTCATGCTTGGAGAAATTCGGTTGGCGATATTCATTGATGTTCATATGATTTCGTATGTTGTGTGTTCCAGTGAAAGGACATTATCGACAAAAATGACAGCTACGCTGTTCTCCGAACCTGCCCAGCAGAATGCGCAGCACAGCTGCGCATTTGCGAAAAAAATTTTGTGGCAGATCATGCCCAGTCTCTTGAACAGCGAGGGTGCAGGTCACGGTCTGCCGGATGGTTTAGTCGAAGTGTGGGACTGTGGGACAACAAGATATCGGGAATGACACTTGTTAATTTGAGCCGATCCGCGCCTCCCGCGGCCGCAGCGGCTTCCACCCCATGTCCGTTGTAGGGGCCAAAAGCAGTGAAATCTTCAGTCAGATTTTTGGGATATATACTGTATTTCAATTGCAAATAAATAAACCAATCAACCAAATAGCACGGTTACATGTATAACAACTGCTGGCCACAGTGTTGGGGAAGTGATTTGACATTTGTGCAGGCCAGGCTCAAACCTGGCACAGTGCTGACGGGTACATCTGAGGCTCCTCCAATACGAAGCGTGGTTCTCAGAGCTGTCGCCAGAGGACGCAAGATCGTGGGCAGATGGTGGTGTTGCAACCTATCAGAAGTGGTTTTGAGGAAACAATGGAATGAGAGGAGACCTTTATATTAGTTTGGATAGCAACCCCAACCTGTCCTTTGATTTTTTTATTCCAGGATTCAGCTTCGTGCAAATTCAAACAGCCGGCACACAGCCGGCACAGCATTGATCACATCCAATCTATTGAAATCAGTTCTACTCGGGACTGATGACATGGCCTCCTGCGGACACCCGCTGGGATCAAAACTGATGACAGGTCATTTCGAGGGAAATGCTGGTTTTCCGGTAACAAAAGGGTCATCGTTAAAATGTTAAACACATGACATGGGAATGGCATTGCTGGGCATTTGTGACCTTACCCCTAACGTTTTCAGATTTGACCAAAAACATATTACTGTATACCAGAGGCCAGTGACAATTGGAATCAGAACAAATTCCCTATATATCCCCCCTACATGCCCAAAAGCATGTTGTGACCAATCTGTTTCAACATGTTGCCTGTTGTGGTTCTGCCTTTATGCTTCCCCGGTGTCCCCCGGTGTATTGCTTCCCCCCGTTGGACTGGTGCCACCTTGGGTCGGCGTAGCCCACAAAATGCCCAAAACCTGTCCAAAACTATTCTTGCATATTTTTGCCTTAGATTTCGTTAGGTGGTGGTGCTAGACACCAGGTTTTGGACCACCAGATGACTTGGAACCCTTCCCCAGGACTGTGCTAGACACCGTGCAATTGAGGTAGAACCAAGAACCAACAGCTGCTGAAACACGTGTAATTTCTAAAAAGAAAATTCAAAAAGAAATTCTTGCCAGCGTGAGCAACGGGAGGACACACAACGAGGAATGGGAAAAGTTCGGGTAAATGGTGGGCAAATCAAAAACCGTGGGTATATCGGATATATCTTAACTTAAAACAGCTTGAAACATGAACACGAAACAACATAGGATTTACACTGAAATTTACACCTGCATCTTTTTAATGAACATATTTGCGTTTGTTTTGACATATGATTCTGATATGGTTTGAATGTCTTGTGGATGCGTTTCTAAATCTGTTTTGACAGGTCTTGACATTGTTGTAAATGTTTTTCTTGTTTCTTTGGGCGAGGCGGCTTTACGTCCTATGTCATATGCAGGAATGGCACAGAAAAACAAGGTTCACCCGCAACCCAAAACCAAGGAAATTTGGATATGTCGTCAGCTTTCCGCATTTTTTGCCCTGAATTCCTTCCCATGTCATGTTTCTTTTTTAAATAGGGCCCAGAGACCCCCCAAAAAATGTCATGTGTACCTACGTAGCATATTTGGTTCTTTCAACCTCTGGCCTGCGCCTGACATGGAAACCATTGGCCGGTCTCGACGCAGGAAGTGGGCTGGATCATTGTTCCCCCCCTCCGGGGCAGGTTCACATAAGTATGGGTTTCGTCCAAAACAAGCATTAAACACCATCTACTACCTGAACATGTTATTGTTTTAACAAAAGTTCCTTGGAGCTAATTCACTTGTTTCACATCCTTAAACTTCAGCTATGCATGCCAAACACAATGTTTGGCTCAAGGCGCGTAAAAGGTGCCTTCTGACCACGTTTGGCGTGGTTATCCGCCGTATTACTGTATCTCGGCCTCGCCCGTGCTGTACAGCCATTGCGCTTGCGCTGGCTGCAGCTGTTTTTGCTTTTCCTCTTCCTCTACCTGTCGCTGTTGCTGCTTGATCTCTCGAATCTAGCCTGCATATTCAATTATCGAAGGAAGTTTAGAAGTCAAACTTCCGACAATATGGACAAATGAAAAGCAGAGATAAGCAGAGATGGGCAGAGGCAGAAAGAAGATAAGAGTAGAAAAGAGCAGATCAGAAAAGAGTCAGAAGAAAGAAGATGCAGATGCGCGACAAGGTAGGAAAGTCGCGAAACACTGTGTTTTTCCAATGATTTGTGGCTCCGGACGATCGAAAAGCAGGCTCGCTAAAGCGGCGGGTGCGGAGCCATCTGGCCAGATGAGAGATGAAAAATTGCACGCCGTTGTGGCGCCAAGCACATTTCGAAGTCAAAATGTATAAAACACACCATGCTCGGACCACTTTTAACTAGTTGAGATGTCGAAAAAGTGCACGCCGTTGTGGCGCGAAGCACATGTCGAAGTCAAAATGTACAAAACACACCATGCTCGGACCACTTTTGGAAGTTGAGATTTCGAAAAAGTGCACGCCGTTGCGGCGCGAAGCACATTTCGAAGTCAAAATGTACAAAGCACACCATGCTCGGACCACTTTTGGAAGTTCAGATGTGCTTTCGCGTGGCAGGCGCAAGGGTGTGCACCTTGTCAAGAGTGAGCAAAACGTGACGGTTTTGTAGCATTTCCAAAAGAGATGGCAGGCGTGGGACATTTGAAGAGGATCTGCAAAGATGCATTTTCCGTGGCAGGCGCAGTACAAACGACATGTTCATCAGAGATGTTAGGAGGTGAGGGCGCGGATTTCCTGATAGGGGTTGCATTTTGGAGCATCAGATCTGTAGGTTTGCTAAGATGATTTCGCCTGGCATCAATTTTTCGTGGCAGGCGCAGTACTTTAGACAGGTGGAGTGGAAAACTCGCAATTCGCATTGGTACGAGGCTGTCAGCGCTGCACTCAACTTTCCATTTTTGAAGGAAGTCTCGCAGAATTACTTTGTTTTTGATGTTGTCAAGTTCAAAAATTGAAGAAGTCACGCAGAATTGCTTCGTTTTGGATGTTGTCAAGTTCAACAAATGAAGAAGTCTCGCAGAAGTGTTTCGTTTTTGACGTTGTTCAGTTCAAACATTGAGGAAGTCTCGCAGAATTGCTCAGTTTTCAAGCTTGCAGATAGACAGGTAGATAGACAGACAGACAGACCGACAGATAGATAGATAGATAGATAGACAGATAGATCGATAGATCGATAGATCGATAGATCGATAGATAGATGGATGAAATAGAGGAGACTGATGATAGGTAGAGAGAGAGAGAGATAGCTAGTTAGATAGCTCAATAACTAGATAGAAAGATAGGTAGATAGATAGATAGAAAGATAGATAGATCAGTAGTCAGTAGGCCAGTAGGTAGGCAGGTAGATAATCAGAGAAAGAGAGAGAAACAGAGAGAAAAAGAGAGAAAGAGAGAGAGAAAGAGAGAGAGAGAGAGAGAGAAAGAGAGAGAGAGAAAGAGAGGAGAAAGAGAGAGAAACAGAGAGAAAAAGAGAGAAAGAGAGAGAGAAAGAGAGAGAGAAAGAGAGAGAGAAAGAGAGAGAGAAAGAGAGAGAGAAAGAGTTCAGAGCTCAATCACCTGTCGGTCCATCAGCGGATTCGCTCTGCCATCCGGGATTCACAACAACCAACCTCTCCTATAGGTTTCCTATTCTTGAAACTTCCGCCACGGCCTTGTGGGGTACTACTGGTACTGTAAGTAGTCAGTGGCTTGTGCCACGGAGGGAGGCAAGAAAAACGAAAAGGTCAAAAGAGCTGTGTGAGAAAACTTTGAAAGGGGAACACCAGGAGCCGTCTTCGTCTTCAGGGATTGATGGGCTAAATAAGGCCCGGGAAGAGGTGGCCGAGAGCGCAGCTACTTCAAAGGCTGTCCCACCAGCTGTCACCACTGGAGGTGATCTTCTAGAACATGAGACTCCTGTCTTCCCAAACAATCCTGAACTTTCGGGCTCCGGAACTCTTGTCATCCCAAAGGCCAAGGCAGCAGTTGTAGTTTTCTCACAAACGGGGATTGTACTCCGAAAGCCAGACCAAAGAGTGAAACTCCTCGGGAAAGTAGGCCTGTGAGTGTTGACACCCCTAAGGTTTCCAGTGCTGTCACCCCCAAAGCAGTGGTTGTTCCGAAGACCCCACCAAAGGACCCCCCAGCTGAGCCGGCTTTTGCAAAGGCTCCTCAACAGTTGTTGGGTAATCCCAGTGTAAATCCAGCCCCCGTTGAAGCGTGAATTTCGATTGATTACAGGGTTTTTAACGTCAGTCAGGCTGGGGATCGGCAATTTGAAGGGATTATTCATCCTCATAACGTGGGTCTATTGCGTCAGTTCTTGTTGGACCACGCAGGAAGGGGATTCAGAGTTGGGGTTATTTCATACATTGGAACGCACGGGGCCCGTTCGGCTGAGCACCGACTGAATTTGGTGAATACCATAAGGGAGTTCAACCGGTACATTCGTGATCCAAGACTTCAGTTGGGATTGCGAATTGTGGGCACTCGTCAAAAGGGGGAATTCCTGAACGTAGCAGGAACAACAGTGCACATTGACGATCGCTTAGATTGCTTGGATAGTTGTTCGGACACCATTGTCACCTTATGGGCTTTGGATAGGGCCAGGCACCACCGTAGGCATCGCATTCTGCGCTCGCTCAGGGAAGCCCTTGGTCAGGTCGAGCGTCACTGCAGAACCGTGTTCGGGGCTCTCTGGCAAATTCCTTTCTGAAGCTCAGCTGCACTACCCAGCGCGCTGCGCGGGAGGTCAGGGGGGCAATAGGAGTAAAATTGGATTCACCTATTCTTACCGCTCTATTAAGCCCTTGCCACCTTTTACCATTTTGATTTTGGTGATGATTTTTCTATTTTTGATTCTTAGAAAAAGATCAAGAAACAAAAATGTGAAGATCATAATTTACCACATGTCACTAGGTGGGGGATCCGTTCACATTTTTTCCATGGGATGCTGTAAAAGTGTCCGCTATGATTCAAAAGGGTGCTGTTCAAACAACATGTTATTTTTGATGTTGGTTTTTGGTGATGATTATTTTATTTGTGATTCTGAGAAAAAGATCGAGAAACAAAAATGTGAAGATCATAATTCACCACATGTCACAAGTCATTTCAAAAGATAGGTGGGGGATCTGTTCACGTTTTTCCCTGGGATGCTTTAAAAGTGTCCGCTATGACTCAAAAGGGTGCTGTTCAAACAACATGTTGTTTTTGATGTTGGTTTTTGGTGATGATTATTGTATTTGCGACTCTTAGAAAAAGATCGAGAAACAAAAATGTGAAGATCACAATTTACCACATGCCACAAGTCATTTAAAAAGATAGGTGGGAGATCTGTTCACATTTTCCATGGGATGCTGTAAAAGTGTCCGCTATGATTCAAAAGGGTGCTGTTCAAACAACATGTTGTTTTTGATGTTGGTTTTTGGTGATGATTATTTTATTTGTGACTCTTAGAAAAAGATCGAGAAACAAACATGTGAAGATCACAATTTACCACATGCCACAAGTCATTTAAAAAGATAGGTGGGAGATCTGTCCACATTTTCCATGGGATGCTGTAAAAGTGTCCGCTATGATTCAAAAGGGTGCTGTTCAAACAACATGTTGTTTTTGATGTTGGTTTTTGCTGATGATTATTTTATTTGTGATTCTTAGAAAAAGATCGAGAAACAAACATGTGAAGATCAAAATTTACCACATGTCACAAGTCATTTAAAAAGATAGGTGGGAGATCTGTTCACATTTTTTCCATGGGATGCTGTAAAAGTGCTCACTATGATTTAAAAGGGTGCTGTTCCATTCGGAATGGGGGAACCCCTTGCAAGGATCCCTGGGGGTGATTTTTCGAACTCCACAGCCAGGCTGCTACTCTTTTTGGACAACTGCTGTTGAAAATAATCTCGAGCACTTTTTTTTTCTCGCAGTTCCCCCCGCTTTCCCTCAAGAAATCATGGTAATTGCACAGTTTTTCCATTTTCCTTCAAAGAAAAGATGTTACCTACAGTACGTTTCCAATGAACAAACATTAAAAAAAAACGCTGGCCTTTGAACATTTTTGGAAAAGCCACGAAAGCTGGCTGTGCTAGCTGAAGTTGCTCTTGCTTTAGCAAGGAATAGGCAGGGAGCAGGACTATTGAAAACCCTGAAACTTTCCGGCAGGCCCAGGTTCGATCCCCCTGGTCCCCCCCGAGCCTCCCCCGAGAGGAGATTTCAAGCTGGTAGAGGGTCATCATCCTCATTTTCATCTTCATCCTCATCCTCCTCATCCTCATCCTCCTCATCCTCATCCTCATCATCCTCATCCTCATCCTCATCCTCATCCTCATCATCCTCTTCGTCCTCCTCGTCGTTGATCAGCATCCTCATCCCTGGGTCCCGCTGAAGGATCCTGACTGCGAGCGGCCAAAACTCATAGGGTTCAATGCGCTTCCATTTGGAGCTGTTGGGACCAACTGTGCTGGACAGCCTTCTATGATTTTAGCGTTTTGAGCAGGAAGGAGATTCTTTCAAATACCTCTTGGATCCTCTTGGTGCATTGAGACCCTATTCAAACTGCTGGGGTTGAAGTACGTGACGGATGGCAAGAAATTTTTACCCTTTGACAGAAATTCAAGATGCTGGGTCTTCAAGTCGACTTGTCAAACTCCCAGCAGAGGGAGCTGAAAGTTGGGCCCCCACCTACGCGCAAAGAAGAGCTCAGGTCACGAATTGACAGCATACTGGCCGAAGGGCCCATGGACTCAAAACAAGCTGAACGCTTACGTGGCCGCATGGTTTTCTTTGAGGGTTTTACGTTTGGAAGGGTGGCAAATGCTGCCATCAAAAACCTAGGCAGGTTTTGCACCGAAGGCAGTGGGAAGAAGAAACTTGATGACTCCATCAAGTACAGACTTTTAGTTCGGGTGCTGTGTGCCCCACCTGTTTGTGTTGGGAATTCGTTGAACCACACTTGGATCGTTTTCACTGACGGGGCGTGGAACCCTGACAAGCAGGAAGGCTCCATCGGTAGCTTGATCATCGATCCCCGGGGGTGCTGCCAATCCTATTTCAGCAGCTCATGCAGTCCCTTCTGATAACATGTCTGAATTCTTCAAGGTCTCACAAAACCCGATACACGAACTGGAGGTGTTCCCTGTCTTTGTCGCAATTGCCATGTGTGGGGCAGGCGATACGAAGGTGCCTTGGTTGTCAACATTTGTCAACTACATAGACAACGAATCTGCAAGGATGGCATACATCTGTGGCAGTGGTGAGACAACGTTTTCCTCTTGTCATATTGCCGACTTCGTTGATGCTGAATCGCAGTTGCAACACAGATCTTGGTTTGGAAGGTGTCCCAGTGCAAGCAACCCTGCGGATGGTGCTAGCCGTTTGGACCTGACTTGGTTTGAGGGAAGAAACGTGGAGCACACCAAATTAAGTTGGGAGGAGCTCCGACATCAATTCAGATTAAGTGGGGAACGACCGGGCAGGCGATGACTTCGCCCCATCTGCAGAGTTTGGAAAAAAGAGTGGCAGACATCTATTGCATCTTTTTTACGGCACTTCCATTTTTGCTAATTTTCACGCTTGTCCATTTGTGATGTTTGTTTCGAGATCTGGGTGTTGCGACGAGCGTATCACGGTCGGCGAACTTACGTATATATTGGAGTGACCCCCCCCCCACTAACAGTGGAATAATGGATTTTAATAGTAACTTCCCAGCCAAAAATGCACAACAACCCAGGGACCAAAACCACAAACAATTTGAGAGGCCCAATCTTCTCAATCCAAATTTTTCTGATGTTGAACCGAAGTATGAAATCACTCTGGGGGCAGCCTACTTGGAACCAGATCAAATCTATTCAGTTGGAGCTTGCAGAGATTTTGTTGGATAAAATCCCTTTTGGGCAAAGGGAAAGGCAGCAGTGCAGGGACGAGTTTGCTAAGGGACAAATTTTGCTAAGGGACAAATTTTGCTAAAGGGAAATTTTTGCTTTTTGCTAAGGCTAAGGGACAAATTTTGCTAAGGGACAAATTTTGCTAAGGGACGAATTTTGCTAAAGGGAAAATTTTGCTAAGGGACAAATTTTGCTAAGGGACGAATTTTGCTAAGGGACAAAGTTTGCTAAGGGACAAGTTTTGCTAAGGGACAAATTTTGCTAAGGGGAAAATTCTGCTAAGGGTCAAATTTTTCAGTGACAAGTTTTGCTAAGGGGCATTTTTTGCTAAAAGGAAAATTTTCCTAAGGTACAAAATTTGCTAAGGGCCAAATTTTGCTAAGGTACAAATTTTGCTAAGGGACAAGTTTTGCTAAGGGACAAATTTTGCTAAAGGGAAAATTTGCTAAAGGGAAAATTTGCTGAGGGACAAATTTTGCTAAAGGGAAAATTTTGCTAAGGGACAAGTTTTGCTAAGGGGCAAATTTTGCTAAGGCCAAAATTTTGCTAAGGGACAAAATTTTCAGTGACAAGTTTTGCTCAGAGACAAATTTTGCTAAGGGACAAATTTTGCTAAGGGAAAACCCTTGCTTGCTGTCGTGCTGTTTTTTTGTGCTCTCGGCCGTGCTTTTGGAAAAGGTGGAAAATATCAAAAGCACAACTTCCCATGCAAAAAGAGCACAAAAAGTGCACAACTTCCCTGATGATTTGACCACAAAAATTACCACAACAAACAGCACAACTAACCACAAGAAAACGCACAAAAAACCACAACGTTTAGGCTTAAAAAGCACAACTTCCCTGATCATTTTTGCACAACAACAAGCCAAGGAAAAAATAAAAACATCTAATTTAATTTATATTTGGCACCGACCACAACTTCATCAACAAAAAAAACACAAAAAGTGCACAACTTCCCTGATGATTTGACCACAAAAATTAGCACAACAAACCTCACAACTTCATCAACAAAAAAAGCACAAAAAGTGCACAACTTCCCTGATGATTTGACCACAAAAATTAGCACAACAAACAGCACAACTAACCACAAGAAAACGCACAAAAAAAAGCACAACGTTTAGGCTTAAAAAGCACAACTTCCCAGCCCAAAAATTTACAGCCGCAGCCCCCTCCCCCCAAATCCCAGGTTGTCCTGAACCTGCAGTCGACTAGGGCCTGCCAGCCCAGCCTGAGCCTGGATCCTGCTTGAGGGCCGTGCCACCCGTTAGTGTGGCCAGCTCTGGCACCCGTTAGTGTGGCCAGTTCTGGCACCCGTTAGTGTGGCCAGCTGGCACCCGTTAGTGTGGCCATCTCTGGCACCTGTTAGTGTGAAGCCCCAGGTTAGCTTGAACACCAGGCAGCCAAGTCAATGAAATGATTCATGTGATTCATATGATTCGATATGAAAAACCTTCGGCCACTGATATTTTTAAACTGAGAAGCAAAGTTTTTCAAAGTAAAGACTAGGGTGTGTCAGAGTATCAGCACACATGATTCCGTCGCATGCGTCATATGTAATGAGATATGATTGTTATTTTCTGTGATCATATGTAATGAGATATGATTGTTTTTTTGGTGATAAGTCATATTAGTCATGAAGAATTTTTATCCAACAAAATCACTCTGGGGGCAGCCTACACAGCATAAACATAAAACCCATTTATTTGGTGGGCCTCCTTTGGTTCGATAGGATGGTGCATAATCTGAGTCTCTGTGCTGGATTGCCCTGGATTTTTCAATATACAGACCTAAGCTCTCATTGGCCTTTTCCGGTCAAAGTATATACAAACCCAACTTCTTTATGAACTATAGGGTTCATGCTGTGAAAACCCCAACTTCTTTGTGGGTTGGTAGACTGTAAAATGTGCCAACCCAACTTCTCAATGGCATTTTGGGTCCATCGTGCTTGTGCTTTTTTTTGTGGTCTGGATTGTGGTGACTGTTGGTGTAAGGGGGGACAGTCCAACGTATATATATATATATATATATTATATATATTATATATATACATACACATACGAATACGCGAACTGTTGTTCGAGGTATTCTTTTATGGTTGGGGTGTGCCCCTCCTTGTGGAGTTGGAAATAAGGTACTGGCCAGATTTTTTGGGGAAAAAAAGTTCCTTGGGGCATCTTGGGGCTAATTCACTTGTTTCACATCCTTAAACTTCAGCTATGCATGCCAAACACAGTGTTTGGCTCAAGGCGCTTAAAGGTGCCTTCTGACCACATTTGTGTTTTTATCACCATGGTCACATTGAAATTCACAATTTGGGGTCGAACATGCGGTTTGTCTTAGTCGTTGGACCACCGCTCATAGAAGGCCGTGGCGTTTTTGTTGTTTTTTGGTCTCTTTGTATTGTTTTTTACAGCATTTTGTGTTGTTCTCGCCGTGCCTATGGTCCGTTTTTCAAGTTTTTTTTTCTCCCATTTCTCGTTTTTTTGTGCTTTTTTTTTTTGAGGGGGTTTGGGGCGGTGTGATAACGTTTTGTCGCGTGCGTTCTACTTGACTCCGTTTTGTTGATGCTATGTTGTGCACTTTCTTCTTAGACCTTTACACGCTCTTGATGCTACGTTGTGAACTTTCTTCCTAGAACTTTACACGCTCTTGATGCTACGTTGTGAACTTTCTTCTTAGACCTTTACACGCTCTTGATGCTACGTTGTGAACTTTCTTCTTAGAACTTTACACGCTCTTGATGCTACGTTGTGAACTTTCTTCTTAGAACTTTACACGCTCTTGATGCTACGTTGTGAACTTTCTTCCTAGAACTTCCGATGCATTTCATACCTATATTTTTAAGATGTGTATTAGAAAGTCTCTGGGGGGGGGGGTCTGATTATAAATGTCATAAACGTTGTTTTCCAGTTTACGCTTGTGGTAGGACATGTTTGGTAGGCAGTTCCTTTTTGTTTCGTGAGCTCAATTTACTTTGTTCAAACTCTTCCTCTCGTGAGGTGCGAAGACTCAGACGATTGGGGAATTGGTAGCCTTCGTGGGGTCTTGGCGGAGACAGTATCATGGATTTGTAGTATTGCAAAAAGAAATAACATATATATATATAGTGATACACTACTTGTTTAAATAGTTATTACAATATGTCGTGACCGGAGACCATGCTATGTATAATATATATGGAAGTGAACACAGTAATACATCTTAATATATGGAAGAGAACCAAATACATATATATATATATATATATGTGTGTGTGTGTGTCTGTGTGTGCATACCATCCAAAACGGGTGCCGATATCTTTCTAATCTAGCTAGTTTAGAGAAACAGATGCTTGGGGATTTCGAACATCTCTTCAAGGATTACGGACACGTGAGTCTGTTGCTGACTTTGACATGTGTTCATGGAGAAGTTGTTAACTGGTGCATTCTTTCAAAGCAGCAATGATATGCTCCGACCGCCAAATGTAGTGCCATGATACCGTCGTATCGTGCCTGGCACAAACGGTGCCAACCATGGCCAACAGAACCTCTTGAGAGTTACCTTGCTCTTCTCTACCAAATGGAATTGGGAAAGAGATACCAAAAAGACATCTTGCATGGCGCAGCTCGTTTTCTTGGACTCACCACTGCCATGTCACAGGAGTACATGGAATCTTGGGAGCAAATGGGTCTGATTCTTTTGCATTCTGATGGAACTGTGGAACTGAACTCTGACCATGGTGTCTATGGGATATCGACTCCTCCCAGAAAGCCTATTCCTGCATCCTGTCGTCATACTTGCAGTGAGTTGGTTTGTATCATTACTGCTATGAATACTTTGAATTCCTCTTGGTAACCTTTTTGGCTCTTTTGGGAGTACTTGTTTCTATCAGTTCTCCGCCTTTCTTTCTTCACTCGCCTCTCTTGTCGTCAGGTAGTGCCTGACAATGAAGACCTGCTTGGGTGCCGGCTGACATTTCTTCCGCAATGAGTTCTGCTGAAGATGTTTGGACCCCAATTCGTGGAAGTGAAAGTCCTCCGCACCTCACATGGAAACATGCCGTTGCAGATGCCTTGAAGAAAACCCACTGTGTTCCGTGGTTTTATTTCAATAAAGGCTTTGACCTTGCACGGAACATGATTTTCTACTTGTTCAGATGTCACTGATCTGACGTGTTCTCTGCCAATTTGTAATTTTGTATGAGGAACGGTTCTATGCTATGAATACTGCTCACCCAGAAGTGGCTTTGCTTTTGCATGGAGAAGATGAGTGGTTGGCTGAGTTAGTCTCTCGGTCTGAATGCGTTGGGCAAAGGGCATGCAGCAGCAACCTGTCAGACGGTGCTTCTTCGGCAACGACTGGGCGGCGTTCTATCCATGACCCGGAAGTGGCATTGCTGCTGCGAGGAGAGGAAAATTGGTTGGCTGAGTTGGTGTCCCGTTCTGAACCGTCCCTTGTCCAAGTGTCTTCTGCTTCAGACGACAACCAAGACGTAGAGAAAAAATCTGTCCCTGCTTCATCGATTTCTTCACAGAAGTTGGGAGAAAAGTTGAATCGTGTCTACAAATGGGGCGCGTGTCCGAGATGTGGAGGTGCCCGTAGTCTTCAGCCACATGTCTTGTCAGAAAATTCGAAAACTCCTGGAAAGCTTGTATTATATTGTTCTGGCTGGTGGAAAGCCGGTTCACAGAATGGGCGAGCTTGTTTTTACCAGCAAGATTTTCCCCAGGACAGAAAAAATGAAATTTCTCGCTTTCTCAAAGATAAGTACACAGATTTGCGAATGTCCTTACATTGCAATGGATGTCTCGGTAGGTCCTCGGACGGTGACTCCTGATCAGTGACCGGAAAAAAAACGGATGAAGCGCTGCGTTTTCAGCACAGCAGCTCCGTGAAATCATGTCGATGCTACCTTCGAACATATGTCTTTTCATTGGGTCTAGACTGAAGACAATCTCTATTGTGACTAAAGACGCTGTGTTGGGTCTAGACTAAAGGGCCTTGCTGAGTGCCTGTGAAGACAGACTGAATTCACAATTGAGACAGATGGAATATTTGTTTTTAAATTCAGCATTGAGACATGGCTATACATCTGTGGGTATGTGTTAATAAATATTTATCCATGCTGTATGAAAACTTCAATGTGTCTATATAATTGCATACATCTTTACTATAGACAAGGTGTCGGTTGAAGTCGTATGGCAGGTGGACCCTTGCCAAGGTTCCTATGCATTGTGATGTTGTCATTGCTCACGCAGGACAGATGCCCGATCGGTGTTCATGGCTCAAAGAGGAGCTAAAGCTCCACCATGTATTAATCAATGAAGCGACCGGCAGCCCGCTCCCAGGGCCGTCTGGTTAAGCGATGTGCGCTGTGTGGAAGCACTGCTCATCGTATAGAACGATGTAATCTGCATGGTGCGCAGAAGTTTCGCGATACGCTGAAAAAGCTTCGAAAACTGGAAGCTGGAAGACCGCAGAACAAAACTTTGAGAACAGAACACAAGACGAGAAAGAGTCCCAAGATAACGAAAAAAACATGTGAGACTTGCAATGAAGCGGTACGCTGGCAGCACGGAACGAAAACGTTCTCCAGCAGACCATAGAATGAACTTGTCTGAGAGCCGCTTGACGTCTGAGGTCGGCACTGAAAAAGTGGCTGCTGAGTGGCTGATGCAAGAAGGATGGCTTCCATGCCCGACTGAATGCAGTTCTTGTGAATGATGTTGATGATGATGATGGTGATGATGATGATGATGATGATAATGAAGATGGTGAAGGCGGTGATGGCGGTGATGGCGATGATGCACAAAAGATGAATGGACTCCTTAGTTGCGGGCTAAAAAAATGCAATATTTTGCTCGCAGTTACACAGGTTTCTATAATGACAATATTTTCCCCAATGGAACTACGCATGAAACATGTGAAATCAAAGACTGTCCATAAAACGCAGTGTAATTGTTTGATTCAAACAACATTGAATCATTGAAAATCCTATTTTACACCACGGCCGATTACGTGCGGTGGACCTAGTAGTTAACCCTCGTTCCTTGGTGCCTTTTACACAAACCATGTCCAGAAATGGTTTCGACCAAGATTCATGAGTGGATAGGATTTCCTCCTGGGTTCTTTCGCACTTTCCTTGCTTTTAACCCGGTGAACATCAGAGAGCATTGCTGGTTTAACCACCTATTTTTGATGCTGGGGCCCGAACAACTCTTCAATGTGTTTTCTCTAAACTTGCCATGCTGGAAATGTCAAAAGCGGCCTCAACCAGATCAGACAAAATTTGCCCCAACATGTTTGCAGTTTCGCATCCAACTTCATTGTTGAATTATCCGATTTGCAATTAAGAAATCTCAGGTTAATGGCTAGGAAATTTGATGTGCGATGATTGCGTCCCTATTTGCAGATTTGGAGACAAATCATCCCTATTTTGTTCCTTTTTTCCCCACCTGCCAGGTGAGGGTTGTTAGATATTATCAGAGCGCATGCCTGCCGCCTCCGCCTCTTCCTCCTCCTCCTCCTCCTCGACTAGCTGTCCTCCTCGCCCTCCTCCTCGCCTCCGCCTCTTCCACCTCCACTTCCGCCTTGCCAACCTTGCCAACTCGTCGCCAAGCTCTTCGCCAACTTCCCAGCTCAGTGCGCACCGCTGGACCTCAACCTGCGAGCTGCCCAGCTCAGTGTGCACCGCTGGACCTCAGGCTGCGAGCTGCCCAGCTCAGTGTGCACCGCTGGACCTCAACCGGGGACCTGCCCAGCTCAGTGTGCACCGCTGGACCTCAACCGGGGACCTTCCCAGCTCGGTGTGCACCGCTGGACCTCAACCTGGGACCTGCCCAGCCCAGTGTGCACCGCTGGACCTCAACCTGGGACCTGCCCAGCCCAGTGCGCACCGCTGGACCTCAGCGGCCGGGTGGGGTGCCGGGAGGTATGCCAGATGGAATGTCAGATAGAATGCCATAAGATATGCCAGATAAAATGCCATGAGATATGCCAGATAGAATGCCAGAAGGTATGCCAGATAGAATGCCAGAAGGTATGCCAGATAGAATGCCATAAGGTATGCCAGATAGAATGCCAGATAAAATGTCAGATAGAATGCCAGAAGATATGCCAGATAAAGTGCCAGAATGTTTGCCAGATAGAATGCCAGAAGATTTGCCAGTAACAAAATGTATAAATGTCATGGTGGGGATCACACGAAGTAAAGTAATTGTTTGTTAACCCTACGTTTGGATAGCTCGGCACCCAAGACCACAAACCAGCCCTCAGCCAGGAGTGGTGTCAGGGCGTCGGGGTGCTTGCAAATGAGGCTGGGGTTGCCGTCGAGGCGATCAAGGCCTGGGGGAAGGAGTTGATGGGTTGGTGGCTGGGATGGGGATTTGAGAGAAAAGGACGATATCTAAGCTTAGGCTACGCAAAAAAACGTCTGTGTTTATAGTCAGAGAACAGGGACTTGAGGTCGCAAACAAAGACGGGGATGCACATGTAAGCTTAAGATATATATCCTGCACGTGATCAGGCCGGCTCCAAAGCGCCCTTTGGGTTGGTCCTGTGGGACTTCAGTAAAACAGCGTTTTTCTATTTACTTTGCAAATTTTGAAAGGTTTATTTTTCAACAAAACACGCACCCAACAAATATCAAACAGGTCTACAGCAGTTTGATTGAATGTTTTGCAGTTATGCCTGTTTGTCCAAAGAAAGTGGCTATGACCCTAAATATAAAAAGCAACCAGTTAAACAACGAACTTACACACACACATATATATATATATAGGTGTGTGTGTGTGAAACATCACAATAGATGTAAAACTTGTACCTTCATGATTTTTGTTGCAGGGGGATGGAGAGGACATATGAGGCTCCATCCAACGAAGCTCCTCATATGATCCTAGGTCCTAGGATATCACCAGGGACGCCTGGTGACGTACCTGCAGACGAATTCAGTGTTGAATTTCTCGTCGATGGCAGCCGGCTAAGCCCAGAACCGGCATGTCGATTTTGTAATTCAATTCCTTTTTGTTCCTGTTTTTATTATTGGCGCAACTCAAATCAACTCAAGACTGTGATTCAACTTCACTGGCTTTGGCGATGGTAGTTTCGACAACTTTTTCGGCGTTTATTTGGAATTTGAAAGTGAAGGGCCAGCTCCTATTGTCAGTCTTTCCATCATCTTCTCTGATCAGGATTAATTGGAATGTGTTTTGCACGTCTGACGCGCTCCACATCACACTTCGACAAGACAAGTCTGAGCAACTGTGTGACTCATGCCGGATTCGACAGGATGATATCAGCCATTCGGGGAATACCTTTCTAGGTAGGAAACGAGAACCGCTGATCTGACTCTGAATTTACAATTTTGAACTTGGTAATTCGTTTAAGTAAAGTGGAACAGTTGGCCATTTTTTGGCCTGTCGTTTGTCGCTGGTTGAACAACTGGCCGCAGTACCGGGCTTCAATTCCTTTTGTTAGCCGTGTAAACCTCCTTCTTTTTTCGCCGTTGCTCGAGAGAGAGACCGCTGTCATGGCAACATGTTGACGGTTTCAGGCAGGTACATGCCTTCAGGTTTGGTGACTTTTTCTTTTTTGGTCGTTGGTGAGGTTCACTTGTGCACTTCATTCAGCTGGGGACTAGTGACTACTGACAGCCGTCCATAGGGTTGAAATGACGACGAGGGCCTTGAGCCTTATCACGACTTCTGCATGCGATTGCGGAAACTAGTTCCCCATTGGTCCCCTATCTCATGCGTGCTCCCTCTGTAGGTCAGGTTTGGGTCCTTCGCGTGCCGAGGTGGGCTTGGCTCTCGCCTTGTATAGGTTGTGTCAGGCGCTTCCGACCGCCTCCCCCTTCCTTGGTCAGTGTTTGGCCCGTCGTCCGTCTGCTTTTTCTTTTCCCTTGCCCTTTCAGGGTTTGCCAGCTCTGGGCTAGGTGTGTTGGTGTTGGTGTTTCCCCTTTTCCTTTCCTCTTTTGCGTTCCCCGTCTCGTCTCCTGCTGGTGGAGTAGTTTGTCATCTCATTTCCATTTCCTTCATCTTCACCTTCATCTCATTTGTCGGAGCCTTAAAAAGTCGGAGCCTTAAAGAAAAACCGCTGCTGCTGGGCGTGTGTGTGAAACACCTCAATAGATGTAAAACTTGTACCTTCATGATTTTTGTTGCAGGGGGATGGAGAGGACATATGAGGCTCCATCCAACGAAGCTCCTCATATGACCCTAGGTCCTAGGATATCACCAGGGACGCCTGGTGACGTACCTGCAGACGAATTCAGTGTTGAATTTCTCGTCGATGGCAGCCGGCTAAGCCCAGAACCAGCATGTCGATTTTGTAATTCAATTCCTTTTTGTTCCTGTTTTTATTATTGGCGCAACTCAAATCAACTCAAGACTGTGATTCAACTTCACTGGCTTTGGCGATGGTAGTTTCGACAACTTTTTCGGCGTTTATTTGGAATTTGAAAGTGAAGGGCCAGCTCCTCTTGTCAAGTCTTTCCGTCCTCCCTGGTCAGGATTACTTGGAATGTGTTTCGCACGTCCGATGCATTTCACATCACAAATCGATAAGACAAGTCTGAGCAAGGAAGTGTGTGTGTGTGTGTCCGCGCTCAATGCCAGTGCTGCAGGAACAATTTCTATTTGTTTTGCAGAGTGGCTGTGTTAGGAGCAGGTTGATTGAGAGTTATGCCGCTTGTGTCAAGACGGCTATGACCAGTTTTTCAAACAAAAAATGACCGCGGGGCGTTCAATGTATTAAGCATGTTTATCTGTTTGTTTGTGTAGACATCAACTTTCAATAACGCATCGACTAAAACTATCTCCTGGTTGGTCTCCTTATAGTAAACTGTTGGACGTTGCTTTGAGTTGTTTTTTATAAAATTGTTGCCTTCGTCATTTTTGTATATGTGTTTGATGTGGTTGTTGTTGTGGTTGTTGTTTTTCCTGCTGCTGTTGCTGCTGCTGTTGCTGTTGCTGTTGCTGCTGCTGTTGCTGTTGTTGCTGTTGGTGTTGTTGCTGTTGGTGTTGTTGGTGTTGTTGGTGTTGTTGGCGTTGTTGGTGTTGTTGGTGTTGTTGGTGTTGTTGGTGTTGTTGGTGTTGTTGGTGTTGTTGGTGTTGTTGGTGTTGTTGGTGTTGTTGGCGTTGTTGGGGTTGTTGGTTTTGTTGGTGTTGTTGGTGTTGTTGGTGTTGTTGGTGTTGTTGGTGTTGTTGGTGTTGTTGGTGTTGTTGGTGTTGTTGGTGTTGTTGGTGTTGTGGTCGTCGTCGTCGTCGTCGATGTTGTTCTTGTTCTTGTTCTTGTTCTCGTTCTTGTTCTTGTTGTTGTTGCTGCTAGTTCCGAGAATGGCAAGTTTGTTAGTGACACAAAGCATCGCAAAACAAATAAGTATTGAGGCATATAAAATCATAAGGGACCTGATGCCTGCATTATCGATGTCATTGATGCCACTGCAGTATACTCGCCATTGGGGGGCCCCAAGGGGATTTGGGGTGTCCAGTCATTCCCCTGGAACTCTTTGGGAGGTGGTGGTGCGTGGAAAGATGAAGAATCACTTTACGCTGCCACTGGTTGAGCGCAAGTCGATGTCGCTGGCGGGCTATGTCCATGCTTCTTGGACGCACCCCGTGCTGATGGGGGTACATTTTCGCGGCTTCGGGAGGTGATTCATATCACATTTATTGCAAACATCGTGTTCTTTTTTTTGTCTTGAGTGGCCCACATCAACAGGGATTGGTAAATGTCCCATTTTGGGTATATTGGACATCACCTTATAGTAGCCATTATAGACCATATACCTAATGGTTGGGTGATGTTCAATGGGGACACTTAATGACCCATGATCAACATACTGTACTTATACAAGCATATATATATAATACATACACATACAAATATATATATATATACATACATACATACATATGTTCATATATGTAAATATTTACATAAATATACACATAAATAGATACATATATACACATAAATAGATACATATATACACATAAATATATACATATATACACATATATATATATTTACGCCTATATATATACACATATATATTTATATATATATATACACATATATATATATACATATGTATATATATATTTACACATTTAAACTAAAGACATAAGATATTATGTCATGTCATTTCATATTAAACCATATTCTATTATTTTTTTTGGTTTTTGTATGAAATATTCTTTTTATATTTTCAAAATTTTCTTCTTGCACTATATTAGATTCTATTGTATATTGTTTTTACTTTTGATTTCAAAGCTTGCTTTATTTCATTTTATTCTATTATATTTGGTTATTGTTTATTTTCATTATATTAACCTATATCACATTATATTATGGTATATTATGTTATATTGTAAAATATTATGCTAGATGTTTTTCAGATTTTTCCTATATTAAATAGTGTTGTATTAGATACTATTGTCTATAGTTTGCCATTGTGTGTTTTTTTTACTACATCTTATTGTTTTTTGGTTTTATGGTATGTGATTTCTGGTATTTTGGAAAAGATTCTTTATATATATACATTATTATATACGGTTTTTTGTTTTTGTTTTTAAATCTAAAACGTGTTGTACACTATTTATGGTATTTTCTGAAATTTATTTTATACTAAATACACAATATTTTATATATTCAATATTTCATACTAGCTATTAAATATTATAGATTTGATATCACTTACCATATATATGTTTATTAATATTCTATTTCTCTTGTGTTTATTTAACAATAAATTACATACAATAGTTTTATTTTATATTTATTGTATTATACATTTTTTGTTCAATGTCATGTTTTGGTGTTTTTATTATAGTATTTTTTAAAATTTTGCTTATTATATTACTATTTTATTTTGTCTTGTATTGTATTTTACAATATTTTTCAATTATATTATATTGCATTATATTTTCAATATTATTAAATTAAGCTATAGAATATTTTTGGTATATTAGATATGTTTATTGGTCCTTAAATAAAACGCAAATGTATGCACTTGATCTCTCCAATGTGCCCATCCTGGTTGTTAAGGCGTGCTATGCATCGGACAGCAAGGAGCTGTGTATATCGCATGTGAAGGCTTCTTGGATGTCCTAGCTACACTGCTTGCGAGTTTCAGATAGGCATTGTTTTTCTCCACATTGTCGGATTATGTTGGGAATATAACTTCAGTGGCCCAAATTTATTTATCCTCTCGCCAAGGTAGAAGAAAGGCATATGAATCGAGGGTGTGGAAATTTGCTGCTAAAAGCAGCTGAAGAGCATAGCCATCGATGCTTGGCTGCGGTAACCCGTGTGGCTGATTTATTTCCCACGCATGGGTACGAAGACATTCAAGTGTTGGGCCACGGCCACATGAAATCACATGAGGTCATGGCCATGGTGCTCGTGTTTTTTTGGATCCAGCCCCCTCCACAAAAGGAGCACGTTGCAGAGACGATCGCTGAAATTTGTAAAAAATGAGGAGCTGATACCCTATAAATTTGGAGGTATGTTAGAGGGATGCGTTTCGCATTTCACATTTTGATTTTCAGACCCTGCCAGTCGCCATAACATTCTGCAACCCACTGTGCATCCTATCTTCGCTTTCATCCATCGACAGCGCGGGCATGTCTTGAGGACTCGGATGGAAATGCAACCAAACATACCTCAGTGTCCTCCAGGCGAATGTAACTCGGCTGCGCAGAAAGGTGTTTGACGTTTACCATTTGGCCACGTGTTGAAAGGTTTTTAAACTGAACTTTCGGATTGAAACAATGTCTATGGTTCCCCACCTGCCAGGTGAGGGTTGTTAGATTTTATCAGAGCTGTTGTCCTCCTCCTCCTCCTCCGCCTCCTCCTCCAGTTTCTCCTCGAACATGTCTGCATCAACTTCCACCTCCACTTCCGCCTTGCCAACTCTTCGCCAAGCTCTTCGCCAACTTCCGAGCTCAGTGCGCACTGCTGGACCTCAACCTGGGACCTTCCCAGCTCAGTGCACACTGCTGGACCTCAACCTGGGACCTTCCCAGCTCAGTGCGCACCGCTGGACCTCAACCTGGGACCTTCCCAGCTCAGTGCGCACCGTTGGACCTCAACCTGGGACCTTCCCAGCTCAGTGCGCACCGCTGGACCTCAACCTGGGACCTTCCGAGCTCAGTGCGCACCGCTGGACCTCAACCTGGGGCCTTCCGAGCTCAGTGCGCAACGCCGGACCTCAAAAGCCAGATAGAATGCCAGAAGGTATGCCAGATAGAAGATAGAATGCCAGAAGATATGCCAGATAAAATGCCATAAGATATGCCAGATAGAGTGCCAGGAGATATGCCAGATAGAATGTTAGAAGATATGCCAGATAGAATGCCAGAAAATATTTGCCAGATAGAATGCCAGATAAAATGTCAGATAGAATGCCAGAAGATATGCCAGATAAGTGCCAGAATGTTTGCCAGATAGAATGCCAGAAGATTTGAGCAGATAATATGCCAGAAGATATGCCAGATAGAATGCCAGAAGATATGGCAGATAGAATGCCAGATAGAATGCCAGAAGATATGTCAGATAGAATGCCAGAAGATTTGCCAGTAACAGCATGTATAAATGTCATGGTGGGGATCACACGAAGTAAAGTATTTTTTTCTTCCTGGAGGCCCTGGAGAAGATCACAATTCGTCATTCATGGTACCCTTTTTAGTGTTTCAAGTATTTTGTGGCTCACTCCCCAAGCCATCAGCCAACCATCATGGTATCCCGGCAAATAAGATAGATTTGGGTTCCTTCCAGGGATGGTCCACTTTATCGTCATATCTATGTATCTATATATATATATATATAGATATAGATATATATAGATAGATAGATATATATACATATATATATATATACATCTTCCTTTTCTTCTTCCATTTCTTGGGCTTGAGAACCCCAGCGATCTACCCAACCGGGTGGCCATATCACTGCACCGAAGAGCGAGCCCGGAGATGCTATACCAAAGCTGGATTCAAACCCGAATCAAGCAGCAGCGCGTCATGGGGGAAGAAAGAACGCAGCGGATCAACGTGGCAGCGATGGAAGAAGGTGCCAACTTGGTCAATGTGGGTCCCCAAAAGACAAGTTGACCAACATTGGAAATAGATAGGATAGAAGGGATTCGGTTTTTCTCTGACTTCCCCGTGATTTTCAGTGTTTTTGTTGGAACATGTGATAAATTGGTGAACACACGCGATTGACTGCGCTAGTTTTTGTATGTTTTTGTGCTAGGTCTATTTGATAATGTTTCGTTTTGACCTGCAATTGAGGCCCAACAGACTCAAACTCTTTGTCAAAACGCATTGCAATAGCTTACTATAGCTTGAACCCAGCAGCTCTTCTAGATTTTGGCCCTTGCCAAGGTGCACAAGCATTCAATATATGACAAGAAGGCGCCGGTGGCACAGTAGATGGTCTTCATCAAGCTGCTTTCCCTTGCTAGGGTATATGCCTCGGGAAATTCCAGGTATCACCGCGCATCAGGGGCAGCAGCCAAAGACGCTGCTTGAGCCTTACACAGCACAAGCAAAAGCGAGTTCTGATGTGGTGTTGAGGAAGCTGATTGTATATTTATATATATTTAGGCGAAGGAAGTTTAGAAGTCAAACTTCCGACAGTATGGACAGATGAAAAGCAGAGCAGGGAAGAGGCAGAGAGAAGAGACAGATTAGAAGAAAGAAGGGTAGAAGAGAAAGAGTAAGAAGAAAGAAGATGCAGATGCGCGAAAAGGTAGGAAAGTCGCGAAACACTGTGTTTTTCCAATGATTTGGGGCTCCGGAGAGTCGAAAAGTAGGCTCGCTAAAGCGGCGGGTGCGGAGCCATCTGGCCAGATAAGAGATGAAAAATTGCACACCGTTGTGGCGCGAAGCACATTTCCAAGTCAAAATGTACAAAGCACACCAGGTGCGGACCACTTTTGGCAGTTGAGATGTCGAAAAAGTGCACGCCGTTGTGGTGCGAAGCACATGTCGAAGTCAAAATGTACAAAGCACCTCAGCGTCGGACCACTTTTGGCAGTTGAGATGTGGAAAACGTGCACGCCGTTGTGGTGCGAAGCACATGTCGAAGTCAAAATGTACAAAGCACCTCAGCGTCGGACCACTTTTGGCAGTTGAGATGTGGAAAAAGTGCACGCCGTTGTGGCGCGAAGCACATTTCCAAGTCAAAATGTACAAAGCACTAGGAGATGTCGCTTCGCTTCACTACACTACACTACATTACACTACACTCCACTACACTACAGGACATTACACTACACTACACTCCAGTACACTACATTACACTACACTACACTCCAGTACACTCCACTACACTAAATTACACTACACCACACTACATTACACTACACTACACTACGCTCCACTACACTACACTACACTACACTTCACTACCTTACACTACACTACACTCCATTACACTACAACTACAACTACAACTACACTCCACTACACTCCACTACACTCCACTACACTCCACTACACTCCACTACACTAGATTACACTACACTACACTACATTACACTACACTACATTCCGCCACACTCCACTACACTACCTCACACTACACTACACTACATTCCGCCACACTCCACTACACCACATTACACTACACTACACTACATTCCGCCACACTCCACTACACCACACTACATTACACTACACTATATTACACTGAATGACATTGCACCACATAGACAGGTAGACAGATAGATAGATAGATAGATAGATAGATAGACAGACAGACAGATAGACAGGTAGACAGCTAGACAGATAGACAGATGAAAGGGAGAGATAGATAGATAGACAGATAGATAGATAGGTAGATAGATAGATAGATAGGTAATAAGATGAATGAGAGAGAGAGAGGCCAGCTGGGTAGATGAGATAGATAGATAGATAGATGGCCAGATAGATAGATAGATAGGTAGATAGAAAGACAGATAGACAGATAGACAGGTAGACAGTTAGACAGATAAAGAGATGAAAGAGAGAGAGAGAGATAGATAGATAGAAAGATAGATAAGGCAGATAGATAGATAGATAGATAGATAGATAGATAGATAGATAGATAGATAGATAGATAGATAGATCAATGGATAGACAGATAGATAGATAGATAGATAGATAGATCGATAGATAGATAGATAGATAGATAGATAGATAGTCAGAAAAAGAGAGAGAAAGAGAGGAGACCTCAAGCACCTTTCGGTCCATCAGTGGATTCGCTCTGCCATCCCGGATTCACAACAACCAAGCTCTCCTATAGGTTTCCTATTTTTGAAACTTCCGCCACCGCCTTGTGCGGTACTACTGGTATTATTGAATTTCGTCAGCTTGGGATCATCCTTCATACGAAAACTTTCAATTTGCAATGAGAGATGCGTGGAACCAACTGCCCAGACAAATACTCTCAGTTTATAGGAGGTGCTTTGTAAAGTGCTGCTGAATTGGGAGATGCATCCATTCAAAAGGTCTCCCAATATCTGAAAATAAACCATTGAGCATCTTCTGAGAAGGATTTCAATACAAGAATTGGGTTGCACACATCTCCAATCGAGCAACCTCCAGTTCATCCCTGGTTGTTGATGGTAACACATGGGGTCATATACTAAATAGTTTCATCCCGGGTCGTGGGTTTATCATGTTCCATCGTTTTTCCAGAAATCGGGCGGTAAATCCGCACTTTTTTGGACGGTTCCCAGCCCCTTTGTGGGAACCCCACAGGTGTCCTGCTTGCAGAGCCGCCCGCTGGAAGCTGTGGAAGCTCCCAGGCGACGATGAACTGCCAGAAAGTTGAAGGTGAAGGACTATAGATACCACTTTTAATAAGATTATATAGACAAACACAAATATAAATAAATGATGTTGAAGTAGTGGAGAATATAATGTACTACAGGGAACGATGATTGAACTTGATATTGTAGAACCAGAGATGATGATATTTGTTTGGATTCTCTTCCCCAGAACAAGACACAGCAATTGATCCCCAGCAAGCAGCAGATTGATTTGTTCACTTCACACCAACAGAAAACCACCATTTTCAACGGGAACACTATTTACATTTACAGAAGACATGTGGTATGTCAAATGCTAAGTTGGATGGCCAGAGGATCTCATTTTGTGCGGGGAATTCTGAAGAAACCGAGCAGCGGTACCATTTAGGGTCTCTTCCTCCATGCACACGGCAGGCAGAACCAGTTCGACATTGGGCTTCAATACGAGGCAAAGTGCTGGCTTTGATGCCGTGGCACATGTGTTGCCTGGTGGCACTCGACCAGAACATGTGGATTTTACCGGATTTCATCACCCAAAACTAGAGGTTTACCGGGTTTACCGCCAAGAAATGGGAAAGTTAGCACAAAGGGAAGATGCTACCCCAATAGGATGTAAAAGACTCATTGCAATCTTTGGGTTTGGGGGGTGAATTTTTCACCCATGCCTCTAGAACGGCTTTGACACGGGGAACCCACGGGAGCCAAACCACCAGGGTATTCGGAATTCGGGTGTTGATAGAGCCCCAAACAGCGGGGATCAAGCAGAAGAAATATAAGACATGGGTCTTATCTCATGGGACCAGGGGCAACCGAAACGATCGAGAGTTTTTGATATTAAGTATCTTTTACATAGTGGATATATATATATATATGCATTTCAAGTACGATGGGGAGCCCGCTTGCAACTTCTGCTCAAGTAAATGGTGGTTTGGCTTGATAACTTTTGGGGTTGGGTTTCTTTGGCTTCCGAGATCTCACGCCTCACTGCCTGTCCTGTCCACTGTTCTGGCTCGTGCATCCCTTGGCTTTTTACTGGCCTTCTTCTTGGATTTTTGGTCGCTCTTTGCGTCGTTGGACTTTTCCTTCTGTGGTGGTCTTTGGACTTGGATTTTAGACCATCACAGCGCACTACCCGTCCTGCAAAGGTTCCTGTGAGACCACGCCTGGCGAGGTACTTGGATGAGTGAGTGCCCATTGACAGCCAAAGAAATCCGTGAAGTCATTACAAAACTGGAAGCACTGGAGAAGTGGGTCTCAGACAGAGAGCCTTCTAGCTCTGCGAGCCAAGAAAAAGGAAAGAGTTTTAGAAAGGGTGGTGTGGCCGATCGTGGACGGGCAGCCTCGCAATCAATCCCTGTCTCGCCTTTTCCTGCTATTCCTCCGATTGCATTGGGGTGGCGCCTTGTGAAAGAAGCTGGACAGTCCTTTCGCTCAGTTTACGGACCGGTCCCCTATCGTGGCCTTGAAGACGGCCCTGGCCCTTTACCAGACTGGGCTCGGGATCAGAGCGACTTTGTGAGCCAAGATTCCAAAGCTGCTGAGAAGCGCATCTCTTTGGCCTTCTCTGCTGGGTTTTGGGCCAGGATTGCGATCGAGACCAATACTGATAATCTGCATCCCTTGGTGATTTCGGAGCCTGCCACACACATCATGGTACTCAGGGCTTCTGGTCTTGGAGGGTACGTGAGATTCAGCAGTTGGGGAGACTTTGAGGCCTTCCGTGAGAAGGTTCCTGAGACTGAGCTGGTTGCCCACGCTTTTGCGACAGAGACGGAATTGAGTATCTTTTGCTTCAGCGCCCGCATTGCTGTGCCAGCGCTGTTCACCAGATGCTGAAGAAGGATAGATTAAAACCAGCCTCCAAAGGTGACCCGAGCCTGCTTGTTTTGTCACTGCCCTCTACAGTCTCCACTTTGGAAGAAGAGCTGGATGTTTATGCCTTGCCACTTGAATTCAGAAAAGACGGAATGTTGATCGTTGTTCCTTCCCAGGTCATCAGTCCGAGTGTTTTGCAAGATGGATTGACAGGTGCCGAAGATGCACTTTTTGGTCCTAGTTCATCGTTTCAGGCTGCATTGATGGAGGAGGCAGATGACCTTTCTCTGATTGAATTAGGTGTTTCAGCTGAAGTCGTAGTGGTAGACGTTACTGACGACATTTTGGATCTATGCCGTGAGTATGACCCTGTGACGGACTCTACCGCGGCGATTCATGGATTCTCTTTTGATTTTCCTGCTGGTTTTCCAGACTGCAATGTGCTTCTTGGACAGGTGAAAGAGTGGATTGCCTCCCGTCATGAGGATCGCGTGGGTTTTTATTCAGCTCAAGAAGACCTGGTAGACCCTGCCTCTCCGAAACCTGCCACAGGTTCGCCAGCCAAAAAGGCGCCTGCAAAGCAGCGTGTGACCAACTCAATGATAGCAGAACAGCTTTCAAGCTTGTCGGCGCAGATGCTACTCCTCTCTCAAAGGCAAGACAAATTGGAGAAATCAAAAGGCAGTTTTGCAGAAGGTGTTGGAGGTCAGGCACATGGCCATGCTTTTACGGTTGCCCAGAAGCTGCCTTCGGTTTCAGCAGCTTTGCCGAATCCGAGTGGGATCTCCCAGACAATGGCGGCGAAGGCAATGGGACTAGTAGGCCCGCCGCCGAAGACTGCGAAGAACGTTTTGCCAGCTCCAGAAATGGACCTTGCTGCCATGGACGAGCCACTGGATATACTCCAGGCCAGACCAGAAGAAGTGGGAGGAATTGCCAACGCGCTTGCGCAGCAGAGCACAGCAATCACTGCGTTGGTCGCGCATTTGGCGTCCCAGGCACCAGATGCTCTTGGCGACCTGGCCTCACTAGGCCCTTCGTCGAGTACTACGAAAGGAGTTCAAAGAAGAGAGAAGATGCAGAACGAGTTGGCAGCAGATTCCAGTATGTACTATCTTCAGATGATGCAACAACTCCATCGAAGACTCCACCCATCGAAGCCTATTCCGCAAAAGGAAGAAGATTTGGGAGATCTCTCTGTGCTTACTTACCTGGAAAGAAATGGAGGCTACAGGAATCATCGAGAGATGGGTCTTATTGCCTGGATTCTGGGTCATGCTTTGGATTCAGCAGCGGCTGGAAACATGAGGCGCACGAGAGAGATTCTAGCTCTCATGATGGTGGCGGTCGAGCAGGCGGTTGTCGACAGGGGAGATTGGTCCCTAGCTTATATGCTCACCCTCCTGGAGGAACCTCCGAATCAGCTCTACCAAGATCGAGCTGTCAATTTGGCTCACAGCTCGAAACCTTTCGGCCCTTTAGTTCCTCCTCAGTGGACTGCGGTGTGCCTGTCTTATCTGAAAGACCTGGAGGTGCTGTCAACGAAGAAAGGCGAAACGCAGAGGAAGCCAGCAAAGGCAGCTGCGAGTTCAGATCCTGCAGTATCAGCAGAACCAGAAAAAGAGGCCTCCCCCAAGAGAAAGCCACGGTTTCCCAAGAAGCCGCAGGCGAAGTCGGCCCCGGATGCATGAATGCGGACCAGGTTCTTTCCTCCTCCCATATCCTTGAGGAGTTCCTTGCGGAGCAGGATGAGCCTTGTTTTTTGGGTGATGGCCTTGACGGCGAACCAGTTCCCGGTCACCCTCACAATACAAAAAACCTTAAAAAGAATTTGCGTGGTGCACCGAGGACGAAGTCTCCTTTTGCAAAGCATGTGAGCACTCAGGCTGTGGACACCTTAGATTTCAATAAGTGGTGTGCATTTTTGGCCGTATCAATTTTGAGAACCAGATCACCTTTTGCTAAGTTCCTTCACTCCACTTTGCATTTGCAACGAGGTGTTGATACCTCGGCATCGCCAGTGTTTCCCTTGCCCATTCCGTTCCCTGGTGTGTTTGCAAGGATGCCCTCAGGTCTTTCTGCCAAAAAGCGATGTAGGATCCACTTCAGACGTGCTTGTCATGTGGTGGTGATGGCGTTGAACTTTTGGTGGGCAGGAAGCAGTTTCTTTTCATTGGAACTTCTGAGGAGGACCCCTTCGAAGAGCCAGCAGGATTTACTGCATCGGTTGTCAGGTCTTTTACTGGCTGATGGCCCCCCTGAAGCCTTTGAGGTTCTTAAGAGTGGCCGTAGATTTCCTCAATTAGTTGCAAGATTGTGTGACCTCTCAGACATGCTTGCGAAGCTTGGTGTAGGGTCCGGGCCTTATGAAAGGACGTTTTCCGGGCATTCAGTCCCCTTGGATTCCTCTCGTTTTCAGGAGTTGGAGCCCTATAAGTCCTTAGATGCGAGCCGGCTCAAAGTGGTTGGTCATGGTGAACTGGATGCTACGCCATTTCTCTCTCCTGAATTGTGCATGGCCTATAGGTATCCAGACTCCCTTTTGCTGAATATCATACCTAAGCCCTATGAGTATCCAGCAGCGATGGACGAGCCAGATGAGGTTGTGGCTCTAGCGCGCCTTTGGGATGCGCGGGGTTTGCTTCATATTCATGATTTTGATATTCAGAAGGAACGGCGTTTTGAGCTGGTAAGGGTTTTCAACTGTTTGAAAAGTGCGGAAGTCGACCGTCAGATTGGTGACCGTCGAGGCAGAAATGCTGTGGAAGCCAGAGTAGTCGGTCCCTCTCGCCATCTTCCTACTGGGCCTGATCTGTTGGATTTTTCCATTGAGCCTGACAGGGAGCGCATTTCGGTTGTCTGCACCGATCGCAGAGATTTTTACCATCAGTCTTCAACGACCTCGAACAGGACCATTTCGAATACTGTTGGACCAGTTTTGTCTCTGCGCGATCTTGTTGACACAACAGCGTATCAGGATTTTTGTGACAGAGCAAAGCGCAATCGACGCAGCAGAACTGCGGTTGGGGATGGGCTTGGCTTTTCAGACCGCCAGCAGTTCTCCAAGGTTGGTGCGGGTTGTTGCATGGCTGCCTTCAAGAGTATCTTCCAAGGTGATCATGCAGGTGTTGAGATAGCAACTTCAGCGCATGAGGGTATTTTGCAAGAGGCTGGCCTCCTGACTGAATCGAGTAGGCTCCTTTCGAGCAGACCGTTTTGGGGCGATCAGCTTTGTGAAGGCTTGGTGATTGACGACTATTTTGCTATTTCAAAAATGCCAAAAGGAATCTTGGTTGATGATCCTGCACTGTATTGCTTAAACAGGAGCAAAGAGAAGTACAGGAACTTGAATGTTATGGGCTCCGATGACAAAGATGTCAAGGGCGCCTGTGAAGCCAAAGTGATTGGAGCATATGTAAATGGTGCTCCTAGAGCTGCAGATAGAGGGCATGTTCTGCTGTCAGCACCTCCCTCTAAGAGGTATGCACTCTCATGGCTGACATTGCAACTGTGCCAATTGTCCTACACAACTGATTCACTGCACTTGTGCCTGGTTGGTGGATGGACTTCGGTGGCTATGTTCCGTAGGCCTTTCATGTCCCTTTTGCAGAAAAGCTTCCAGGTGGTCAACATGGAAAGTTTTGAGATTAATAATCCTAAGCTTGTAGGGCTCCCTAGACCGGTAGTTACTGAGCTTGTGCTAATGGCAGCCCTGGCGCCTCTCATGACTTCAGACCTTGCAGCCACTTTTTGTGACCGTATTTATGCTACTGACGCCTCCCTTGCGAAAGGCGCAATTGTGAGTGCTCCTATTGGCACCGCACTTGCAAAATGCACTTGGCGAATTTGCAGGTCCAAAGGTGGATATTCTAAGCTTCTTTCCCCTGCTCAGTCTGTGTTGGTTAGATGCCTGGATTTTGAGGAGAATGAGATGCCAAAGGTAGAGCCGGTGTCTAGACCCTTGGCCTATCGTTTTGACTTCATAGAGATTTATGCAGGTGCGGCCACTGTCACGAAGCATGTTGCAGATATGGGTTTTTCAGTGGGGTGTCCCATTGACATCTCTTTCAGTGAGGAGCTCAACATGAAGTACATACATGTTTTGGAGTGGATTTTGCACTTGATCTCGAATCACTTCTTGAAGGCTTTTATGATTGAACCGCCATGCACTACATTCTCAGTCATGCGTGTGCCTCCTTTGAGATCGAAAGAGCAGCCTTTTGGGTTTTCCCTTGAGGATGATCAAACGACCGATGGGAATGAGCTGGCGTATAGATCCTTTGAAGTCATGCATGGAGGTGTTTACCATGGTGTTACGGGAATTCTCGAAAACCCTTGGACTTCGAAGATCAAGTTCTTGCCTGGCTATGAAGTTCTAGCGGCCAATGAGCATTGTGAAGTAGTGCGATGCGACTCTTGTGCCTATGGGTCCATACACCTCAAATCTTTCCTGTTTCTTTGCGCCTGGGCGGATGTTGCCCCTATATCCAAGAGATGTGACGGATCTCACGTTCATGTTCAGGTTCAGGGGCAGTACACCAAAAAGTCAGCTACGTATGTGGATGACCTTGCAGCGGCCTTAGCGGAAGTCTGTGCAATTGGTATTAGGCGCCTTATGGATTTTGAGAGTGAAGCCTGTGTTCAAAATGCTGACGGTTTGGAAAGTCAGCTTATCAATGAACTGAGCTCTTCTCTGCCTTGGGAGCTTGATTCGGTTTGGACCTTCAGAGTGACTTCCCATATCAACTTGTTGGAGCTGTCTTCTGTTGTACGCTTGGCTTCAAGACTCGTCAAAACAGGTCGTCCCATCCGCATTGTTGTCCTGGTGGATTCGAATGTTGTTAAATGCGCTGCTGCAAAGGGAAGGTCTTCTTCTAGACTTCTTTGTCGCATTTTATGTAGGTTTGCGGCAATATGTGTCGTGGCAGGCATTTATATGGTCTTTGGCTATGTTCCCACTAGGCTCAACCCTGCCGATGATCCTACACGGGATGTGCCAGTTCGGGTTCCTACTCCGGGCCTTGGAATTTCCAGCTGGGAGTCGCTTGACATTTTCCGTCTGTCGTCTCTCCCTAAGTGTCGTCGTTGGTTGTCAAATTGGATGCGCCTGGTGCTCCTCATTTCTGGTCCTCCATGTCTGCAGTATTCATGTCGTTCTGAATTTCGCTGCCCTCGCTTTCCCTATGGACTTTCTGATGGTGGCTCTTCCATGTCTCTTTCTTCTGTCAGGGCCAGAACTTGCCATCATTCCTCTATGGATTTTGACTCTACCTTGGGCTTTCCTGGTGAGGGTCCTCCTGTGGGTCTCGGTTGCCTTAATTTGTACCCCCTAATAATTTTGGTTTGGATTTGGGCCGCGCTCGCGCCCGTGTGCCATGGCGTACTGGCTCCCAGAAACCCTGGAGATCTGCACAGACAAGCTGTTCGACTGGGCAGACCGCCCTTAGTTGAAGGTCGCCCTGTCTTGGGTGTCACAAATCAAGCTCGACAAGGATATCTGAGTCAGTTCGAGCAGTGGTTGCAGAATTTAGGTATCTCACTGGAGGATTTGCTGGAGAATCATATTTGGAAGATTGATGATTTAAACAAGTTGCTGGTCAGGTACGGTCGAAACCTTTATGCAGTTGGCCGCCCTTACAACCATTATGCGGAAACTATAAACGCATTGTCATCTAAAAAACCTGCTGTCAAGCGACAAATGCAAGAGGCCTGGAACTTAGCATTTGCTTGGGTCCGCGATGAACCTCCTGTACATCATGTTGCGATGCCTTGGCAGATTTTATTAGCAGCTCTGACAGTGTGTTTTTCCTGGGGTTGGCTGGATATGGCAGGAATGTTAGCACTTATGTGGGGTGCTTTGCTACGAGTTGGCGAATTTACTCAGGCAATGCGGTCAGACTTGCTTTTGCCGGTTGATACTGGGTTCACAAATCAGTTTGCCTTATTGTCACTGCAGGAACCGAAAACTCGTTTTACAACTGCTAGACACCAGACGGCGAAGTTAGACATTCCCGATTTACTGCAGGTAGTTCACTTAGCCTTTTCACGGCTAAAGCCAACGCAGAAACTTTGGCCGCGTTCTGGACAGACTCTGAGGAATAGATTCAAAGCAATCCTTCAAGAGTTGGGTATTACGCCACAGGTCCGCCTCAATGGCAAGGGAATGGATTTAGCTTCATTGAGACCCGGAGGTGCGACCTGGTTGCTCCAGACGACTGAAAATGGTGAACTAACCCGAAGAAGAGGACGGTGGATAAATCAAAGAGTCATGGATATTTATATCCAGGAAGTTTCTAGCTTCCAGTTCCTGGCAATTTTGACGGAGCCTTCACGCGCAAAGATTCTGCAACTCTGTTCAGCTTTTCCAGCCATGTTACAATTTGCTGAAAACATGTGGGAAGCCAATGTTCCGTTTTCTGCCTGGTATTTGGTGATGAAGCACAAGTTACAAGGAAATAGTGGGCAAGGTGGGTCTTCCTAGCTCTCACCAGGGACCAGTGACATTCTGGTTCGAGCTTTGGAATGTGTATACATGCTACGCAAAGCCCGTGGAAGTGAAAAGAAGGGCGATCTTGAGTCCTTGCATTTCAAGTACGATGGGGAGCCCGCTTGCAACTTCTGCTCAAGTAACCCACCCGGGCCTTGTCTCCCGCCCATTGAGCAGTCCTTCATCACCGAAGGGTCTTCCTAGCTCTCACCAGGGACCAGTGACATTCTGGTTCGAGCTTTGGAATGTGTATACATGCTACGCAAAGCCCGTGGAAGTGAAAAGAAGGGCGATCTTGAGTCCTTATATATGTGGATATATCATACTGTATCCATTTATACCCGACATGTTGAGGGCTTTACATCCTGTGGACCATGGGTTGTCATCATCTCAATAATTATCATCAAATTCATTCCTACCCATCATCGTCATCAGTTCATCAGTCTACTTTTGCAGCTGAGCAGTCTCCGGTACAACATTAGCGTCCTGCTAGCTTTCGTACCTCGGTAGTTGGTTGACATTGCCGCGGCATGGGATATGGTCTGCTGAGGCTTGTCGCGTTCCGATGCCTGGCAGCCCATTCTCGGTGAACGGGGCCATCATTTTGTGGCAATTTTGATGGGAAAATGATAACCTCCATGGGAGGGGATCCGGTTTTGCACAAAGCCAAAGTGGATGATTTCCAATGATTTCCATATTTTGCAAAGGGGTCCATCATTTGTAGGTCCACAAGTGCCCTTTTCTGACCCAGAGCAATTTATAAATTGCCCGCTTGGTTGTTTTTTTCCTAATGGTCTTCGAAAGCTACAATCCCAATGTAACATTGGGAACTTGCACGTCAGCATCATGGGCAGGAAACTTCTTCGTGGTAGAGTCTTTCAGCCCAGGCTGAACCGATTGCTTGCGCCATGCGCTTTGACCCTGGTGTGGGCCCCAAGCCTTAGTGGAGATTTCAGCAAACGGGCCTCTGGGTGTTTCTATGCGCTATTTCATTTTATGACACATATAATATATGATCATTTACGATCATATGAGTAACCGACAAAATTAGCTAAAAACTAAAGTATTAATAGGGAGTGGACTTGGGATGTTCAAATTTGTGTCAAAAACTTCACAACCGATAGGGGACCACCCACTTTGGCCATGTCCATTGTGAGTATAGCAAGTAATTTTGTCCGCCACTCTATGTATTATATGTCTATATATATATATATTATATAATCATTATATAAGATCTACACAATGTATATAGCATGATACAGATGTTTTTGTTGAGCACAAGCAACGCGGGGGTTTCGTTGGTCTCGGCCCAAGGTGTGGCTATGGCTTGCAGCTGGCGATGACCTCAGTGCCACAGAGGTTTGGTTCAGTGCTGTTTCAAATTTCGGATCTCTAAATTTAAACCATTCCATCCCGTTTTCATCCCATTCCCATGCTTTATCCCATGCTTTATCCCTTGGACCATCTGCAGCATTTGTGACCAGCCGAGGCACTGAATTTTTTGAAATTGGTGCGGATGAGGTGCCATCCGCAGTCGCATGCTCAAAGTATGTCAAAGGGACAGTTGTGAAGGCCAAAACGAGGAAAAACGGGAATCATGGTACAACAATCACATTTGTTTTCAACTATAATCACTGGACTTTCTTTTTAATTATGGCAAAAACTATCGTGGAGGACTGGGTGGCTGAGTGGGTCCAATCATCTGCCGGAAATTGCATTGCCGCTTGGTCGTTTCCAATGTGTTATAGAAATTGGATTATTACTGTACATACTGTTTGCCGCTTCATTGTTAGCCACGAAACCTAGCTTTTAGTGGCTCAACGAAACGAGGTTCCAGGTACTTGACTCACTTGGGTTTCGAAGCAATGGTCGTGAAAAACAGCCCGGTATTTCTAACCATCAGAGAATCTTGAAGCAGACTGCTGTGCAGGGGTAGACCTTCTGCGCAGGGGTAGACGGGTGGGGCACACACGAAGACAGCTTGGACATGTTTGAACTGAGTTTAAAGTTTAAACCTTTACAGGATTCATCCTCTCCAAAACAGTGAGTTAATTGGGTAGGCTGGGTACCGTATATTTGGGTATGTTCCCACTGAAAATCGGGACAGCAAGCTCTCAACAAGCACTTGAATATCCTGACAAGTTTGTATTTCTTGCTTGAGACAACAGTGAAGCTCTAAGAATGGCAGGATGATTCCGATCCGCCAATATTTGTTTGTAGTTTTCACACGACCAAGCTGTAGAGGTGAACGAATTGTTTGGCACTTTTGCAAGGTTGATGAAGCCAGTGTTGGAGCAGGTTGGAACGCTTGCAGACAGGGTCACGGGAAACAAGCTCAGACTGAGGATGCCACTTTCAAAAACGCAAAAAAAATGATCGCAGAATCTTCCCTGGCATCTCTTGCGATGTGTGGCTTGGCAAAGTATCTTGTTCCCGAATGCGTAGCAAGGGTCCCCGTGTCACACTGGGGGTCTGGGTGCTGAGGGTGTATTCCATGGACGTGTCGCAACCGTTCACAACCGTGTGCAACTGTTCGCAACTTTCCGCAACTGCTCGCAACCGTTCGCCTCTGGCCGTGCCTTTGGCCAGTTCTGCAAAAGTGGTCACATTTTGGAGGTTTCAATCGTTGCGTAGCTTCGTTTTGCATGGCCGGCGTGGCTTTTCGTGACGTTTTCCAACATATATAACGTGTCGAAAGTCGTTTTTGTGTGACAGGCGCAGTTCTTTTGCGTCGTTTTCAGAAGATGAGTTGCGTTTACAGTTGCAGGCGCAGAACGTTGACCTCCATCGTCATTTTGCGTGGCAGGCACAGCAGGCACAGCACTTGCGACGTGTCGTGTGGCATATTTTGCGAATCGCATTGTCAGGGCTGCGTCAAGTGCTGACAACGTGCAAATTGTGTAGCAGGCGTGGCATTTTGTGACATGTGATGAAAATAACGGGAGCGTCGTGCAAAACATGGATTTTGAGGTCGTAGATTTTGGAGTCCATGAGAAACTCGTCGGAAAACGTCAATTTTGTAGTACAAAGTGTGAAAATTTGAGGAAGTTTCGCACGAAATCATGTTTCGTCTCCATTCTCTGGAATTTTCTTGTGGCGTCGCCGTGTCTATTGGGGGAAGCTGCAAAACTTCTCAGACAGTTTCTAATGCCGTTTTGCGTGGCAGTCGTGGCACGCCGTGACATTCCCACGTGTCTGCAAATGCTGTCGAAAGTCGTCGTTTTGTGTGACAGGCGCAATACTTTTTGCGCCGTTTTCAGAAGCTGAGTTGCACTTTTCGTGGCAGGCGCAGCACTTTGGTGACCTCCATTGTCAGCTTGCGTGGCAAGCGCAGCACTTTAGACGAGTCGTGTTGTGTGTTTTTGGTGAATCGCATTGTCAGAACGGTGTGAAGTGGTGACAACTTGCAAATTGCGGCACGCGCGGAACATCGTGAGAGCGTCATTTTGCGTGGCAGAGGCAGTATTTGGTGCAGATCTATTGAGTGTGGAAAGTCATTTTGCGTGGCTGGCGCATTATCTCGGACACTCCACGCTCCACACTTTACACTTGACACTCCACACCCAAATTGCACTCTACACTTTGCACTTTGCACTCCGCACTCTACACTTTACACTTTGCAATCTGCACTTTGCACTCCGCACTCTGCACTTTACACTCCACACGTTACACTCCACACTTTCCACTTTACACTCCACACTCTACACCCTCCACACTTTACACTCCACTCTCCACGCTTTACACTTTCCATTCCACATTTTACTCTTTACACTCCACACTCCAAACTCTACACTTTACACTCCGCACTTTTCACTTTGCACTCTACACTCCACACTTTGCTCTTTACACTTCGCACTCTGCACTCCACACTTTACACTCCACAACCCGCCTCTACTGTACACTTTACACTTCACACTCCACACTTTCCACTTTACACCCCAGACACTGCACTCTACACTTCACACTGTACACTTTACACTCCGCAGCCCGCACTTTACAGTGCACACTTGACACATTACACTCCACACTCGGCACTTTACACTTTACACTCCACACTCCACACTTTACATTCCGCAACCCACCTCTACTGTACACTTTACACTTTGCACTCCGCACTTTCCTCTTTACACTCCACACACTACACTCTACACTTCACACTGTACACTTTACACTCCGCAGCCCGCACTTTACAGCATACTTGACACATTTCGGCACTTTACACTTTACACTCCACACTCCACACTGTACACTCCGCAACACACCTCTACTGTACACTTTACACTTTACGCTCCACACTTTGCACTTTACACTCCACACACTACACTCTACACTTCACATTGTACACTTTACACTCCGCAGCCCGCACTTTACAGTGCACATTTGACACATTTCGGCACTTTACACTTTACACTCCACACTCCACACTGTACACTCTGCAACCCACCTCTACTGTACACTTGACACTTTACACTCCACACTTTCCACTTTACACCCGAGACACTGCACTACACTTCACACTGTACACTTTACACTCCGCAGCCCGCACTTTACAGTGCACACTTGACACAATACACTCCACACTCGGCACTTTACACTTTACACTCCACACTTTACATTCCGCAACCCACCTCTACTGTACACTTTACACTTTGCACTCCACACTTTCCTCTTTACACTCCACACACTACACTCTACACTTCACACTGTACACTTTACACTCCGCAGCCCGCACTTTACAGCATACTTGACACATTTCGGCACTTTACACTTTACACTCCACACTCCACACTGTACACTCCGCAACGCACCTCTACTGTACACTTTACACCTTACGCCCCACACTTTCAACTTTACACTCCACACACTACACTCTACACTTCACACTGTACACTTTACACTCCGCAGCCCGCACTTTACAGTGCACACTTGACACATTACACTCCGCACTCGGCACTTTACACTTTACACTCCACACTTTACAGTATACTTTCACACTTTACATTTTACACTGCGCACCCTACACTTTACACTCCCCACTTTACACTTAACACTCTACACTCCACACTTCACACTTTACACTTCACACTCTACACTTCACACTTTCCATTTTACACTGCGCACCCTACACTTTACACTCCACACTCTACACTCCACACTCTACACTCCGCCTTCTGCACTTCAGACTTCGCACCCCACACTTTATTCTTTACATTCCACACTTCACAATCCCCACTTCACACTCTACAACGTACATTCCCCGCTTATGACTCCACTTTCTTTACATGTCGCACTGTGCACTCTACCCATTCCACATTCCACGATCTACAGTGCACTGGTACGGTAACAGGGGAAACATGTACAAGACTGTTCAAATAACTTGTTTCACAATGTTTCACAAAAGTGTTCTCCCTGACTGCATTCGGGTTCAAAATGCATCCATTTTGAAGAGGTGATTTGGGTGATTTGGCATGTATTTTGTTACCAAGCCTTCGGTTTGTTGAATCGTTTCCGAACTATTTTTCTGAGGCTACAAACCGCAGGATCAGACCACGGTATTTTTTGCCGCTGCCCGAAAACCTGGAGCTGACCGGGAGGCTGCAGCCAAGCAACTCAAAATATTTTTGCCATACCGCGTACCTGCGTTAGAACATGCTGTAACGCCATGCAAAAAAACATCAAAAAACCTTGTTGCCCTGTTCAAAAAGGAAAAAACAGGGTCCCCGTCTCTTGACGGCCGGGCATTCTCCGCAGGCCAAGTGTTTGTGTGAGATCTTGGTGCAGAAGGGCATTCGTGTCAATCACACTGACGTTGCTTGGCACAGTCCTGAAGTGATGTTAGAGGATGTTAAAGGGCAATTGGCTGAACGGTTTTGGCTCAAAATTAGTTACCCCCAAATGCGGATGGTTTTTGCTGGTTTCACCCAAATCGTGCCAAATCCAATTTCATTTGTGCTATGCATGGGGGTCCGGGAGATGCACGAAGAGCAAGTTGTTGCCTTTCCTGTTGGACGGAGGAACTTCCAAAATGGGACTAGGCCATAGGGGTAATCCACAGAGGGAGTACACCAACAATGATGTATGTTCATAGCTGGTTGGCCCTCTCAAACGTGCGACTTTTCCATGAGGAACCTCCACTTGAAAAACGCTTGTGGGAAGGGTAGTTTCAACACGTTCAACCACAAATCAGACAGTGAGGCATTTGAGATTTGGTAGGTATGGACGGTATGGACCCAAACTCGGTACCTTCAAAAAAAAGGGGTTGATTCTGTAGACTATGACTCTTGTGTGGGAACTTTTGCTATTGCGTGCCATGCGTGCCATCATCTCCACCTTTCAAGAGCCAAGGTAGTGAATCAAACGGCCCTTTTCTATGCGGCCCGTCAAGGGCACGCAGAAACGATCAAGTTCTTGCTGAGCAAAGGCGCAGACCCCAATGTGGTGGACACCAATGGGGAAACGGCGCTGCTGGGCTGCCAATAGAGTTTGTGTTGTTTTTCATTTTTTTTGGGCGGGAGGATGGTGGACAAAATCTCGTGAATGGGCGGTGAGGAGTTTGTGTGACTGTGGGGGTTACTGCTAAGATTGCTAAGAAATTGCTTCTTTGTTTGGCCGCTCTTCGTTCGGATTTGTCCTGGATTTAATTCCGAATCCCGAAAAACATATATATATATATAATATATATATATATGTATGTATGTATGTAATGTAATGTAATGTAATGTAATGTAATGTAATGTAATGTAATGTAATGTAATGTAATGTAATGTAATGTAATGTGTGTGTGTATGTGTGTATGTGTGTATGTATGTATTGATGTATTGATGTATGTATGTATGTAATGCAATGTAATGTAATGTAATGAAATGTAATGTAATGTAATGTAATGTAATGTATGTATGTATGTATGTATGTATGTATATATAGTATATTATATATACATATATATATGTATATATATATATATATAAACATGGTGGGTCGAAACAATTTTGAGTCATGCAAGATAGTTGAAACTCACGATGACATGCCAGCTGGTAGTGACCCGGTAGTGCCTCTCTGAGGTTGTTTTACGCCGTCAGAAAATTGAGGACAGCTGCGGCCAAGGCCTTGTTGGACGGCGGGGCGAGTTTGGAAGCGCCTGGGCATTGAAACGGGAAGCGCTTGCCTCATGCAAGGAACACCAAGTTTCCAGGGAATAGAAATATGGCAGGAGTCGGACTACAACGTACCAATTCCTATTTGTACATATATTGTAAATAAATTGTAGTATCACATTTTGTTTTTTGAATGGGGTGACATCCTGCTACTGGTCAAGAATTGGCGCAGTCTTTTGGTATTCTTGCAGGGGTTGCTAGAAAATGATGAAGGGATTGTGGAAGCACATCAACTCCTCAAGCAGCAGTTGGAGTGTCAAACACACTAGAGTCTAGCTAAGTGGGCACTGGCAAAGCTCCTCTATAATACGTAATTACTATGGCTTGAAAGTGGTGCTACCCTATCATTCCAATCTTGGAAGCTGCCAATTCACAGTGATGCCATACCGTTCAGCAGGTTGGCCCTTTCACTGAGGTTGCCAACAATGCTGGCAACACGTGCATGAGTGTGGCGCCTGCTGCGGTCTTCCCTGCCTTGCAGGAGGCACGGAAGTGGGTGAACCACAGCAAAAGACGAGCCCATCGAATTTGATGGTTGAAATCAGTTTGAATGCCACTGGAAATCCCCCATTTCTGGGTTGTACCAGTACCCAGTTGCGCGCTGGTTTGTGTCCAGTTGTGGGCTATTGATTGATGATGAGTGCGTGGCCACTTCCAGCTTTTAGTTTTCACAGGCTTTAAATCAGGTTTGGGATGTAAACTGCATTGTCCAGACGTCCCATGCACGCCTCAGGAGCGCACAAAGCGACGCCTCCACGACGACTCAGGCTTGCCAAGGGCCTGCAGTGCAACGTCCTGATTTATCAATGATTTGGGCGCATCGCTTGATTGATGCATCCCCAAAGAAAGGAGCGGTTTCCCAGCCAGGTCCGGGGCCAAAGCGCCGGCGCACGGCAATGGAAGGGCTGCGTGCATGGGCCAATGAGTGGCCAGCCAAGGAGCCTATCCCCAGTACCTTGGATCTTGGTGAATGTTCGTCAGGAGTCATAGCTTTGAAACTATTTTAAATTTGGTGGTGTATGCAATTTCCTTTTTTTGGTGTGTGTGTCCAAGCCTGGACGGTAATTTGCTAATTTGGACATTTTGACTGTTTTTTTGGCAATGAAGTGAAGCATGATTTTTGTTGGTCGATGGGTGGCTCAACTAACAACCCGATGGCCATTAGACTGGGCCAATGATGATCCGGGAAGCATGCCACACGTCTTGCAGCTACTCAGCTACTCGCATCAATGTCTTGCATGCTGAGGAAGCAAACAAGTGAACTACAAAGAGAAGGACTGATGGACATTGCCCGGATTTCTATGTGTGAACATGTCACAGTGCCTTTTCTCTGTGTAGGGATGCACAAATATGCCTGTACAGGTACATGTATATATATATATATATATACACAATTATACATATATTAGATAATTTATACATTCATATCATTCATTAATTCGTTCAATCGTTCGTTCGTTCGTTCGCTCATCCATTCGTTCATTCGTTCGGTCGTTCTTTCATTCGTTGATTCGTTTGCTCGCTCGCTCGCCTGCTCGCTCGTTCGTTTGTTCGTTCGCTCGTTCACTCGTTCAAACATTCATACATTCATTCATTCATTCATTCATTCATTCATTCATACATACATACATACATACATACATGCGTACGTACGGACGTACGTTCGTACATAGAAACATATCAAACATTCCATTACATTATACATTAGATTAGATTAGATTAGATTACATTTCATTACATTACATTGCATGCATGCATGCATGCATACAGACATACATACAAATGAGCCCGATTTTTTTTGCGACATGTGAGAGCCACAGCCTTGTCACTGGACCCTGTTTAGCTGTGTATGTCTAACATATCTATATAGCATGTACTGCCCAAGGCGTGCAAGACACATGGTTCTCACTCAGTGTTTGCCTTTCTGCTACATATTTACAACATATAGATTACATACCCAAAACATACCTATGCATAATATAATCCTATATACTATACGCTTGTACTGCTTGGAAGCAGTATGTACCTACAAATATATACGTATGGGATCCGGTCAAAAATCCCTATAGTAAGGAAAAGTAAATCAAGTTGCGAAATTAATGCTGGACGATAGTTTTTTAGTCTTCATTATTTAGTGGGCCCCCAACGAAACACGGTATTTCTGCAGCTTGGCGCTATGCTCGCTTTAGCAGTGCGCTAGCATTTTTTTGGTTTTAACATTCCCAGGAAGCAGTTCTCTTGTGTAAACTCTTCTTCGTATTAGATCGTATTAGTATTGAGTACGTGGAATTGGCATGGTATTGAGATGATGTGACAGTTTGCTGTTTGCCACCATTGCCACCAGTATCCGGAATGCTTTGCATTGGTATGGGTGTTTTGGGTTTCGCAAAGTTCAGCCATTGCATTTTTATGAGAACCCCAGTACTTGTCGCAAATATTTCCGAAAGTAGCGCCGTCATCCACGCTAGCCTGGCGCTAGCGCCGCGCTATAGATCCGCGCTAGCAAACATGTGGCAATACCAGCCCTGGCCCAGAAGTCAAACTGGCACTTCTTTAGGCTCGAAACATGAACGGGCCTGACGTCAAATGGAAGTACCAAAGATTTGGGGAAGTACCAAGGTAGGTACCAAAGAGACCCAAAGAGCTTTACAAGTAAAGCGTGCCAGAGGCACTCGCCAAAGGCGATATCTGCAGGACATGGCACAATAATCAGACAGTAGCACGCCATCCTCCTCGTCCGAGAGTGGTTGAAAGTGCCGCGCGCTAGCGACTTTTCAACGAAATGCAACAATGATTCTCCTCCCCTTGATTCCCTGTGATTTAGAAGACATAACAAGGTACATGACGCAGAAGCAAAGTTATGTAGCGGGCCAGCTATTTACGACTTTTGCACACTTCTGGGAAAAAAACACATTTTGACCAGCCACCATATACACTCCCAAAATATAATTCCCAAGTAACATGATACACCTTTGTTTAGTCTACACATAGCTTCACCACTACCTATATCATTATATACTCCTTACACCCTGCATATGCTACCTACACACATGTTTCATGGCGTACCTATATACGACTCATTGCATGACGTGCCCATTTAGATTGTACTGCCTATAGAGTACCTCACCCTACATATTTGCTACCCATATATATATATTATATTATATATATATATTATATATATATATATTCAAAAAACATACCTATGCAAAACTATTCACAACTATAATCGCGGTGAGGCCCAGACAGGCATCAATTCCCCTCGGTACCTGCTCTGGAGTAGTAAGTCTGAGAGAGAGAGACGGATAAGAAAGCTTTTGAGATTGGGCCAACAAAACATTTATAAATGTCCTTCCCAGGTATTATGTATATAAAAGTATCTCAAATCACCCAAAATAGTCCAATATACCTACACCTTTTGGAGTTGTGGTATTTGATGGATTTTGCGGGTTTTGGCGTTCGTTTTACGGATATTTGCATCGTTGTTTTCAAGAGAGTATGTGCACGCCCACCATTTCCGAATTTCCACCTCTGAATGAGGACGGCTAGACATTTGGATGTGCTTCCAGAACAGTTTTCCCCCAACAAAAGAGAACAACATCCCTAGGAAACAGGGATACGCAATGCAATCGCCAGTGCAAATTCAATCAAGTTCTTGCAGATTCTACTTCAAACCCTGTGAAGCATTGAAAGCAGTCGTTTTGCCAAGAGAAATTTGGTTTGCAGGACTACCATTGTTTCCCTCCCGTAGCATCTAAAACTAGTACAGTGACTTGTTTGTACTTGAATATTTTGGTCGTTTGTGCGTCTACAGGTATGTTTTTTTTTAAGTATCGGAACCGGGAGGGACATGCATGACATATGCACCTATAGTACGCGTAGTTAACAGAGAATGAAGATGCATGTCATGCTTGGAGAAATCCGGTTGGCGATATTCATTGATGTTCATATGATTTCGTATGTTGTGTGTTCCAGTGAAAGGACATTATCGACAAAAATGACAGCTACGCTGTTCTCCGAACCTGCCCGGCAGAATGCGCAGCACAGCTGCGCATTTGCGAAATTTTTTTTGTGGCAGATCATGCCCAGTCTCTTGAACAGCGAGGGTGCAGGTCACGGTCTGCCGGATGGTTTAGTCGAAGTGTGGGACTGTGGGACAACAAGATATCGGGAATGACATTTGTTAATTTGAGCCGATCCGCGCCTCCCGCGGCCGCAGCGGCTTCCACCCCATGTCCGTTGTAGGGGCCAAAAGCAGTGAAATCTTCAGTCAGGGGAAATCTGTGCGACAACGGAGGCCACAGGGATGACTGATTGAGAAAGTGAATTCATGGTGAAGTTCCTGGGGCTTTGTTTTTTGGGATATATACTGCATTTCAATTGCAAATAAATAAACCAATCAACCAAATAGCACGGTTACATGTATAACAACTGCTGGCCACAGTGTTGGGGAAGTGATTTGACATTTGTGCAGGCCAGGCTCAAACCTGGCACAGTGCTGACGGGTACATCTGAGGCTCCTCCAATACGAAGCGTGGTTCTCAGAGCTGTCGCCAGAGGACGCAAGATCGTGGGCAGATGGTGGTGTTGCAACCTATCAGAAGTGGTTTTGAGGAAACAATGGAATGAGAGGAGACCTTTATATTAGTTTGGATAGCAACCCCAACCTGTCCTTTGTTTTTTTTATTCCAGGATTCAGCTTCGTGCAAATTCAAACAGTCGGCACACAGCCGGCACAGCATTGATCACATCCAATCTATTGAAATCAGTTCTACTCGGGACTGATGACATGGCCTCCTGCGGACACCCGCTGGGATCAAAACTGATGACAGGTCATTTCGAGGGAAATGCTGGTTTTCCGGTAACAAAAGGGTCATCGTTAAAATGTTAAACACATGACATGGGAATGGCATTGCTGGGCATTTGTGACCTTACCCCTAACGTTTTCAGATTTGACCAAAAACATATTACTGTATACCAGAGGCCAGTGACAATTGGAATCAGAACAAATTCCCTATATATCCCCCCTACATGCCAAAAAGCATGTTGTGACCAATCTGTTTCAACATGTTGCCTGTTGTGGTTCTGCCTTTATGCTTCCCCGGTGTCCCCCGGTGTATTGCTTCCCCCCGTTGGACTGGTGCCACCTTGGGTCGGCGTAGCCCACAAAATGCCCAAAACCTGTCCAAAACTATTCTTGCATATTTTTGCCTTAGATTTCGTTAGGTGGTGGTGCTAGACACCAGGTTTTGGACCACCAGATGACTTGGAACCCTTCCCCAGGACTGTGCTAGACACCGTGCAATTGAGGTAGAACCAAGAACCAACAGCTGCTGAAACATGTGTAATTTCTAAAAAGAAAATTCAAAAAGAAATTCTTGCCAGCGTGAGCAACGGGAGGACACACAACGAGGAATGGGAAAAGTTCGGGTAAATGGTGGGTAAATCAAAAACCGTGGGTATATCGGATATATCTTAACTTAAAAACAGCTTGAAACATGAACACGAAACAAAATAAGATTTACACTGAAATTTACACCTGCATCTTTTTTTAATGAACATATTTGCGTTTGTTTTGACATATGATTCTGATATGGTTTGAATGTCTGTGGATGCGTTTCTAAATCTGTTTTGACAGGTCTTGACATTGTTGTAAATGTTTTTCTTGTTTCTTTGGGCGAAGCGGCTTTACGTCCTATGTCATATGCAGGAATGGCACAGAAAAACAAGGTTCACCGGCCACCCAAAACCAAGGAAATATGGATATGTCGTCAGCTTTCCGCATTTTTGCTTTGAATTCCTTCCCATGTCATGTTTCTTTTTTAAACAGGGCCCAGAGACCCCCCAAAAAATGTCATGTGTACCTACGTAGCATATTTGGTTCTTTCAACCTCTGGCCTGCGCCTGACATGGAAACCATTGGCCGGTCTCGACGCAGGAAGTGGGCTGGATCATTGTTCCCCCCCTCCGGGGCAGGTTCACATAAGTATGGGTTTTGTCCAAAACAAGCATTAAACACCATCTACTACCTGAACATGTTATTGTTTTAACAAAAGTTCCTTGGAGCTAATTCACTTGTTTCACATCCTTAAACTTCAGCTATGCATGCCAAACACAATGTTTGGCTCAAGGCGCGTAAAAGGTGCCTTCTGACCACGTTTGGCGTGGTTATCCGCCGTATTACTGTATCTCGGCCTCGCCCGTGCTGTACAGCCATTGCGCTTGCGCTGGCTGCAGCTGTTTTTGCTTTTCCTCTTCCTCTACCTGTCGCTGTTGCTGCTTGATCTCTCGAATCTAGCCTGCATATTCAATTATCGAAGGAAGTTTAGAAGTCAAACTTCCGACAATATGGACAAATGAAAAGCAGAGATAAGCAGAGATGGGCAGAGGCAGAAAGAAGATAAGAGTAGAAAAGAGCAGATCAGAGAAGAGAAAGAGTCAGAAGAAAGAAGATGCAGATGCGCGACAAGGTAGGAAAGTCGCGAAACACTGTTTTTCCAATGATTTGTGGCTCCGGACGATCGAAAAGCAGGCTCGCTAAAGCGGCGGGTGCGGAGCCATCTGGCCAGATGAGAGATGAAAAATTGCACGCCGTTGTGGCGCCAAGCACATTTCGAAGTCAAAATGTATAAAGCACACCATGCTCGGACCACTTTTAACTAGTTGAGATGTCGAAAAAGTGCACGCCGTTGTGGCGCGAAGCACATGTCGAAGTCAAAATGTACAAAACACACCATGCTCGGACCACTTTTGGAAGTTGAGATTTCGAAAAAGTGCACGCCGTTGCGGCGCGAAGCACATTTCGAAGTCAAAATGTACAAAGCACACCATGCTCGGACCACTTTTGGAAGTTCAGATGTGCTTTCGCGTGGCAGGCGCAAGGGATTGTGCACCTTGTCAAGGGTGAGCAAAACGTGACGGTTTTGTAGCATTTCCAAAAGAGATGGCAGGCGTGGGACATTTGAAGAGGATCTGCAAAGATGCATTTTCCGTGGCAGGCGCAGTACAAACGACATGTTCATCAGAGATGTTAGGAGGTGAGGGCGCGGATTTCCTGATAGGGGGTGGCATTTTGGAGCATCAGATCTGTAGGTTTGCTAAGATGATTTCGCCTGGCATCAATTTTTCGTGGCAGGCGCAGTACTTTAGACAGATGGAGTGGAAAACTCGCAATTCGCATTGGTACGAGGCTGTCAGCGCTGCACTCAACTTTCCATTTTTGAAGGAAGTCTCGCAGAATTGCTTTGTTTTTGATTTGTCAAGTTCAAAAATTGAAGAAGTCTCGCAGAATTGCTTCGTTTTGGATGTTGTCAAGTTCAAAAAATGAAGAAGTCTCGCAGAAGTGTTTCGTTTTTGACGTTGTTCAGTTCAAACATTGAGGAAGTCTCGCAGAATTGCTCAGTTTCCAAGCTTGCAGATAGACAGGTAGATAGACAGACAGACAGACCGACAGATAGATAGATAGATAGATAGACAGATAGATAGATAGATAGATAGACAGATCGATAGATCGATAGATCGATAGATAGATGGATGAAATAGAGGAGACTGATGATAGATAGAGAGAGAGAGAGATAGCTAGTTAGATAGCTCAATAACTAGATAGAAAGATAGGTAGATAGATAGATAGAAAGATAGATAGATCAGTAGTCAGTAGGTAGGCAGGTAGATAATCAGAGAAAGAGAGAGAAACAGAGAGAAAAAGAGAGAAAGAGAGAGAGAAAGAGAGAGAGAGAAAGAGAGAGAGAAAGAGAGGAGAAACAGAGAGAAAAAGAGAGAAAGAGAGAGAGAAACAGAGAGAGAGAAAGAGAGAGAGAAAGAGAGAGAGAAAGAGAGGAGAGCTCAATCACCTGTCGGTCCATCAGCGGATTCGCTCTGCCATCCGGGATTCACAACAACCAACCTCTCCTATAGGTTTCCTATTCTTGAAATTTCCGCCACGGCCTTGTGCGGTACTACTGGTACTGTAAGTAGTCAGTGGCTTGTGCCACAGAGGGAGGCAAGAAAAACGAAAAGGTCAAAAGAGCTGTGTGACAAACCCTACCCACCCACTTAGTAAAAGAAAACGCCGGTGGGGTTCATTTTTTGGAAAATCTTTTTTTTCAAGGGTTTCCCATCCGGCGGTGCTATCCGCTGCAGTTTTAACACCACGTTCCGGGCAAGGTCAGGGCCCAAAAGACCAATCATTGGATTCAACTGGCTTCAAAAAGTAAGCAAAACAAACAAAGCCAAAATCAGGCCACAATGTTGATGCTACGGCCAGGCTACGGCATGTCTCAAAAGCGCAACCGATTGTGTAAGCTGTGTATAGGTGCAAAGCTTATTAGCATTTAGCTGCATTTAGCTGCACGAAAAGCCCTACAGATGCCCTAACGTTGCCCTAGCGTCGCCCTAACTTCACACTTGGGCAAACGGGACGGCCGGGGGTATATTAAAAACATAAATGCTGGTTCACATTTTAGGTTTTGCCACCTTGATCCATCGCAATCTGATCCCGTTGTAGCGGATAGGTGCAAAGCGTTTTCAAGTAGCTTCAAAATGGTTGATTTAAGCTTCCAAATCGTCGATTTTAGCTTCAAAATCGTCGATTCTAGCTTCACACGGTGCTAGGGCGACGTTAGGGCGACATTAGGGCGTCTGTAGGGCCTTTCCTGCAGCTAAATGCCGCATCACATGATGTGGCAATCCTCCAGGGGCCAACAACAGGGCACAACCGACCAGATTGTTTTTTCTTGTACCCAGCTTGTACTTTATTCTTTCCAGAGGCTATTCCTTTTCATTCCTGTTCATTTTTCTTTTTTGTTTTGGGACTTACAAACCTTAAGCACAATGAAATGCATAGAAGATTTCTTTCGCATTCCTATGCGTTTCATTGCTTTTAAGGTCTGTGAGTCCCAAGACATGATGGAAAAATGAAAAGGAATAGTCGGTCTTGTGATGATCTTTGGGTCAGATTTTTTTGTGGCGCAGTTTTGGTGGCAACTTATTGTCGTGCGCGCTGGGGTGATCTGATGAGAGCTGAGAGGGTCATTGAGTCATTGAGGACAAGGACAAACAAGGACAGTTGTTTTACCTTGAGGCCCGCACAGGTAGGCACAAAACCATGAAATCTCAAATGCACCGACACAGCCTTTTGCCCATGGTAGCTCCAGTCAAAGGCATAGACGGTACAAACTGGGGTGTCATTTGGTTGCATGTCAGAGACCAGTTGGGAGTGAGATGGCCTCCTGAAGGGCTTATCATGCCGGCGCCTGACAGACAGGGTGCAGCAACAAACAGGCCGCTGGAGACTTAGGAGTGTGCGGCTTGGCTCAGAAAGCTCTTGGGTTCAGCGGTTTGTGATCCTGACAGGAGGTTGTCAAGTCACTCTCTGAAGGCCACAATGTTGTCTTATGCTGCGAAACGAGGCATAGGGATTCCAGAGAGGCTTCAGTTAGGGCACCACACCAGCAACTTTCAGATGGGCATGGTTTACAGCAAGGATGGAGCAGCTGCCAGCATATACTCATTCTTGACAAGCTCATTGATGAAATTGCGCAGGGCCATCCTGATCCTGATG